TCTTCTCCCTCTGCCCCAGATTGCTTGCTGGACCTACATCCTTCTGACCCGTTCAGGGCTGCACCTGATCTGGGGAAAATTTCTGTCACATCTCTCTCTCATCCAGAATGAAGTTTCAGGAATATAAACCAGACTTTGGGGGAAGACGCACATTGACATTTACAGCTGGGGAGCACTGAGAATGACAGAGAAGCTTCAAAGCTGTCTGATGAGCCAACAACAGAGAGTTCTTAAGCACACACACACAAAGCCACTGCTTCTTGAGTCTAGCTGCTCTTGAGAATAAATCCCCATATGACTAGGGAGCTTAAAACTCCCTCCCAAGCCGCCACAGGGCTCCGCAAATCAGCAAGCCAACCAACTCTGGAGTCTTTGTTGCTCCTTACAGCACCTTGGGGAAAGACCTATTTGCAAAAGAATAATAATGGTTCCTGTACAATGCTTTTGTCCTATGGCCCCTTCTGCCACAGGTTCTGTCTCTAGGTGGAGCTGGCAATTCCAGCTGTGCTCTGCATTAACACTTGCCCAACCCTTTCATCGGTAAATAAATGTGTTTCTACGCAGAGCTTCCCGAGAGTCCGTGTTCTTCTAGCACTGTCTGCAGTTTAGGGTAGCTTTGTGCCATCCAAACCCCTGGTGGGCAATTGTTGTTTTTTATAATCTATGCTCCATATGAATCTTTTAACACGTTTGCATAAAATTCACACTGCTGGAAATGTTTCCTGGCACAGTTTGGGGCAAGCCCAAACCCCCGGCCAGCCGCAAGGTCCTGTGCTTTGGTTAATCTTTTCTGGCTTCCCCCATGGCTGCTTGTCTCTAATGGACTTCTCCAGAATGCCTCGATATTCAGCATTCATCTCGATTTGCTTGCACAAGGCTTATGCAGTGAAGCAGACCAGAAGCTGCCTCTCACTGAGCCAGGCCAGTTGGTCCATCAAGCTCAGGATTATCTGCACCGACCAGCAGAGAGTCAGACAGGGATCTCTTCCAGTCCTACTGGGACATGTGAATCAGATGCTCTACCACTGAGCCACTCCCAATTTCTAGACTTCATTGAGCATTTGTTCCCATTTGTTTACAGGGAGGTTACATGACAATGAGCATTCACCCTTGTTTGCTTGCGGGTTTTGTTTACGCCTTTCCCACTTAATCCTTTGTACGTCCCCTTTGCATTCCCACACTGCAAAAAATCCTTTTTTAAAAAGTAGATTTGTTGCAGTAGGCTGCCAGAGAGCTTTAAGCCACTCTTAACTGTTTTGGGAGGGCTCGTGCTTTATTCATTTCTTATTTTATTCATTTCTTAAATTTATATACAGTGGTACCTCGGGTTACATACGCTTCAGGTTACATACGCTTGAGGTTACAGACTCCGCTAACCCAGAAATAGTGCTTCAGGTTAAGAACTTTGCTTCAGGATGAGAACAGAAATCATGCTCCGGCAGCGCGGCAGCAGCGGGAGGCCCCATTAGCTAAAGTGGTGCTTCAGGTTAAGAACAGTTTCAGGTTAAGAACAGACCTCCAGAACGAATTAAGTACTTAACCCGAGGTACCACTGTACTGCCCTTCATCCAAAGGTCTCAGGGAGGTTCACGGACTTCAGGTGTTTCTATCCAGAGAAGCACGTATAAAAGGACAACTTACAGTTATCCATAATCTATCACTCTTTGTGTAATGGCTGCCCAAGAACGTTGTGGTATTTGCCGAGTGAAGGAAGCCCAAGCCTGCAACTCTGAGCTCCTTGGAGGAAAGGTGAACTGCGCATGAAAAATAAAGAAATAAATGAATTGGAAGCAATCTAGGTGTTACAGACTCTGTTGTTCCTCAGACTACTTGTGCAGAAAGACTAGTTGTTCTCAGTAATTTCCACACACAAGTTGTTCTCAATACAAGTATAATAATAGGTAAAGGTAAAGGGACCGCTGACCATTAGGTCCAGTCGTGACCGACTCTGGGGTTGTGGTGCTCATCTCGCTTTATTGGCCGAGGGAGCCGGCATACAGCCTCCAGGTCATGTGGCCAGCATGACTAAGCTGCTTCTGGTGAACCAGAGCAGCGCACGGAAACACCGTTTACCTTCCCGCCGGAGCGGTACCTATTTATCTACCTGCACTTTGATGTGCTTTCGAACTGCTAGGTTGGCAGGAGCAGGGACCGAGCAACGGGAGCTCACCCCATCATGGGGATTCGAACCGCCGACCTTCTGATCGGCAAGTCCTGGGCTCCGTGGTTTAACCCACAGCGCCACCCGCGTCCCAAGTATAATAATACTTACTCTTTATTATTTATAGAAAGCTTTATATTACCTGCCGATTCTCATCATTTTTCCTATAATCTGCCAGGAAAACTGACCTACAGGAAATTAAATATGGGATCAGCAGAGCTGGTTTATTGAATCTTGGTTTTTGGCCCAGGAACTCGGGAACTGCTGATCATGTCTTCTTCCACTGCCAGGTAGTGAGTTTTCAAGAAGCCAAAGTAGACTCCTAATGTATTCTCCAAAATGACTGACATTGTATTTTCACAACAGTAGCCAACCCTGGGCTGCTTTGAGGGCAGGCCCAGGATTACCCAGCCATAACTTGAAGTTTAAGTCTTCTCGCAGGTCATTTCCATGGTTTCCCAAGAAATGCTAGTGTTGACTTCTATAAATCGGCATACGTTTGTACTGATATGCATACAGCATAAAATAATGAAACAGAACCGAAATCGTTACAACCTTGCAAAAGTATTTGACTACTTCTGCAACTGTATTTATTGGATCATATGTCTGACCATAATGTCCCCAGAAATAAATGAAAGAGCACCTTTTGTTCTAAAATATAAACACAAGCATAAAATGTTATGTAAATATATTTCAAATTGGTACACTTGTTTCATCCTTTTTACTATTGTGCTGTTTCTCTTTTCCGTTCTCTCCACTGGCTTCCACTTTTATTACGTCTTCTGCTGAAGGTCTTCTACAGCAGCTTTCGCCAACCAGTGCCCTCTTGATGGTTTGAACTACAACTCCCATCAGCCGCAGTCTCAGCATGGGATCTGTGGTCCAAAACATCAGAAGGGCTGGAGAAGGCTGCTTGAGTGGACTAACTAGCCTTCCTGGTCTGTTGCAGTGAAAACAACAAAGAATCTTGATGCAGCTTAAAAACTTAACAAATTTATTGCAAAAGAATAAGGTACTACATAAGCCTCGTGTATTTTTATGGGTATGAAGAGTTGTTACAGCTTTACAAGGAACGAGCCTGTGGCTTATAGAATATGCAGTAATAACCAATCTAATGTGGCTTTATGGAGACACTTTGCCTGTGTATGCACTAAGCCTAATGTAGCAGGGCAAGGCAGAATTAATCTGCAATGAGCTTTCGTTTTGGGACTGAAACCAATTTCTCAAGAAGCACTTTTCCAGGGGCAAAAAAAAAAAAAAAGTACACTAGATATAGATGGTGTGTGGACTACTGTATGTAGGGAAAAAAACCCTGGTCCTCCATTGATTCTAGAATTAAAATGTGGGTACACGAGCTGTGTATAGTATCACATGAATATATTCTAAAATATCACAACTGTGTTGGCTGAATATATCTTTCAAATGCTGGCTGCCCCACAGCAATGAAAAACAGAAACAGCTGCCCAGGTGTAACACATGTGTTTCAATCTATAAAGTCTCCTTCAGTGGCATTTGGTTGTAAAAGTGCATCTCCTTTTTTGTGAGCTCAGAGGACAAATTCACACACACACAATTTTTAATAACATACATTTTTTTGGGGGGGGGAGAATTAATCATTCAATTTTTTTCCAGTAAAGAAAACTCATTATCTGATATATATTATGCTGTTTCAGACTTTTGTAGTTCAAGGAAAAATCGTCTGAGGCTCTTCTGCAGCCAGTACGGCACTGTTTTATGTCCCTGTGGAAAATAATCTCTCCAAGTTATAATTATACAACTCATTTAAAAAAACCAAACACCTCTTATTAAAAAGCAATGTTAAGCGAAGTGTTAAATTAGCAGTTTCACACTGAAGTTTCTTTCCCCCCAGTATGGCTACCTTAAAGTCAACAACAGATTATCCGGGGAGTTTTAAACCATCTCCCACTGGTTTCTGAATATAGCAAAACTTATGTCAGAGTCGTGTCCATTTATTCCTACACAAAAGAATAAAGGCACTCCAATCTGACACAGGTTTTCCTTGCTCAAGGGCAAGAGCTAGAGCATTCTCTGAAGCTCATTTTTGGAATGTTGTTCTGCACTTCTATATATGTATTTATGCAGATGGCCACTTAAATATCCACTAGTCATCCACTCTTAAGTAAAATGTGTAGTGGTTTTTCATGCTTGGTCATTTATTCCACTCTTTCTACAAATGACACCATCCCACCACCACCAAATATCTCAGCTGAGAAGTCAGGAATATGAAGTTTGACTGGCTGCTAATGCCTCATTGTGCCATTTCCTCTGTTTTACATGCCAATTGCTCATTACTGAGTGATTAGTGAAGTTTGTAGAAGGGATGGAAATTTGACTGACACACTAAACGAAACAGCAGTAAAAATAACATGTTGTCACGGGAGAGATTCCTTGCTACAATTGAACAAAAGGATTTGTATTGTAAAACCTGCCACCTTAGGTTTTAATGTTGTTTCTGGGATTACTTCACCAAACCGTCAGGAGTGCTGGTTTCCTTCAGCCCATCCCCTCCAACCACTAGGCAATATTTCCTTCCTAGAAGCCTTCATATCTGTCTCCCAGCCCCTTCATGACACAGAAATCAGATCCCACCTTTCTCCCAGTGAACAAGAGTTCAGAGATCACGGTTGCATACACACCATACATTTAAAGCATATTCCCCCTCAAAGAAGATTCCTGGGAACTATAGTTTGCTGAGAGTGCTGGGAACTGTAGGAGTAAACTACAGTTCCCATGATTCTTGGGGGCTGGGGATGTGCTTTAAATATATGGCACAGATGCAGCTTGCGGCCATTATTCCTCTTTCTATCATACCATTCACCACTTCCGGATAAGCCAAGCGTCCCTGTTTCCATCTGATTTTGCCTTCCATTTAAGAAAGGTATTGGGTTCTTATTAATCACCGATCTCTTGTGGTGCAGCTGGCTTCTTGCAGCCAAATGTCTCCACCTGAAGGCTAAAGCTGCACATTGCAACCAGGTATTAACTTTTGATCATCGTCAGGATCCTCATGGAAGGAGAGAGGCATTCTGGAGGGCTCCTTCAAGGCACAAACTCACGGGATAAGAGCAGGGGGCGACTGCAAAGAAGCGAGCAACCGGAATCAGCTAATAAAAAGCAAACCGGAAGGATAGCCAGGCTTCCCCATCACACAGAAAACCAATCTCTCCCATTTCAAGCATCTCCCATGCACAATGGGAATACAGGCTAAATTTGAAGAGGCGAGTGACCTTATCTAAGTAGCAACCTTTCCCACGTCACACTTTTTATTTCTGCCTTCCTGAGCAGTGGAAGATTGCTAGTGGTCCTTCTCCCTCAGCAGTCATGGAATCATAGAATTGTTGATTTAGAAGGGACCCTAAGGATCATCTAGTCCCACCCCCTGCAGGGCAGGAATATGCAGCTGTCCTCTACGGGGATTGAACCTGCAACCTTGGTTTTTATCAGCACCACACACTAACCAACTGAGCTATCCAGGTGGTTCAGTTTTTGGAGCCCTACCTGTTGAGCTGTGCCATTTCCCTTGCAGTTTACCCAAACCCACATGGCAACACCCAGATTGGGGGGTCCTCCTTCCCCACATCACCCCCCTGCTCTGATTCTACAGTGTTTTAAATGGGGACTATTCCCCTTTAAAAAAATTGTCGCCATGGGTTAGCCTTGCTCCTCTCACCGGTGAGTTTGAGATTTCTCTTTTAAGATTGTCTCGTGTAGGCTATTTAGACTCCGGAGTGTAGGCTGTTTGTTTATTTTTATGCTACCAAACTGTTTTCTCCCTCATCCCACATCTTAATCAAGCATCTTAATTTGGAAATGAGGGTTTAATTGTATGCTGCTGCCTTCAGCTCCATCCTCCGCGTCTCAGCCTTTTAGATATTTGAAGATGGCTATCATACCTCATCTCTGTCTCTTCATGTTTTTTTGAAAATGATATAAATACAAATGCAATGGGTCTTATTCCCAGGTAAGTGTGGATACTGGAAAGCAGCTGTCTGGAAGTTTTGGATACAGTGGTACCTCGGGTTAAGTACTTAGTTTCGGAGGTCCGTTCTTAACCTGAAACCGTTCTTAACCTGAAGCACCACATTAGCTAATCGGGCCTCCCGCTGCTGCTGTCCCGCCGCCGCACAATTTCTGTTCTCATCCTGAAGCAAAGTTCTTAACCCGAGGTACTATTTCTGGGTTAGCGGAGTCTGTAACCTGAAGCATATGTAACCTGAGGTACCACTGTACGGTAAAGCAGCCTTTCAGAAGTTTTGGAGTATAACACTGGAGGGTGGAGTGGGTCACAGCATTAACATCCCAATAGATCTTGCTTCCCCATTAGGTTTCCAGGGGAACTCCAAGTGCACCAAAGAGTAAGTTGTGCCTCTGTGTATTCAGCTTCCAGCATCAGCCCAACACACTCTCTTACAGCCCTCCCCCCAGCCTATTGTTCTTCCTCCTTGGATAACAAGGTACCCAGCCAGGTGGGGTAGGAAAAGACCCACTCCTTTGTCTCTAGGGCAACCTATTTGAATTTGTAAATTCGCAGTACATTCGTACCTTGGAAGTCGAACGGAATCCTTTCTGGAGGTCTGTTCGACTTCCAAAGTGCGGCTTCTGATTGGCTGCAAGAAGCTCCTGCAGCCAAGCGGAAGCTGTGCCAGATGTTCGAAAATCGTTTGAAAACCAGAACACTCACTTCTGGGTTTTGATCGTTCGGGAGCCGATTTCTTTGGGACATCTTTCCAAAGGAAAATCTTGAAATTATGTGAGAGCTTTTTATGGTGGTGCTCAACATGGGAGTTAAGTTGTGGGTGAACATATCAGACGACACAGTGATTCTTCAAACAGCTCTTGTTTATTCACAGGCCAGAACAGAACTGACTGAAGGGTTCAGCCAGCCTGCTTATATAGAGCTCCACTACAATGCAACAGTAACCATTTTCTGTAACTATCCAATCACTGTGAACGTCACTTTCAATCCCTTATTTGCATATGTGGACCTGAGTGAAAACTATCTACAGTATCCCCCTGCTGGCCCAGGGTGAGAACTTCAGTACATAACAGTGGGCCTTTCCCCTTTCATGCTTTTAGTTACTTTTTTAAAATAAAAAAAATCAAGATCTCTGTGGCATCATTCCACAATGCACCTGCCTTTTGGGTCTGTAGTTCATCCTTGCCTGGACTGGGTGTGTGCAGATCTGTGGTGAGCTGGTGTGGAAGAGTGGTCCTTGCGGCTGGAGGTTTGCCTTGATCACTGTTGTAACATGTTATATATTTCAGCTCAGTTTACTGTGCTAGCCGAAGGCCATGACAAAACCAACACAGTCAACAAAAATATAGAACAAACCCTCTGTTTAAACTAACAGAACCATGCAATGCAAGCGAGACTATAAATGGGGAGCCCCAATGACTATATACAGTGTATTTCAAATTATACCTCCGAATCTCCCTTACAATTTACTACTATTTTGTCCAATTCTTTCTTGCCACCAGCATGAAATAGGCCACTTTATGAGTCACTGAGGCGTTCGAGTCACTCAGCAGTTACAGAACCCTCTCCGCCAAGGAGAGATTGCTTTCTCTAACATACCGGGGATTTAGAAGGTGTCTCCTAGGTTCTGTGTATAATGGGCAATGTAACACATAATGAAGAATGTCTTCTATTTGCGGTTGCCTGCATATACAGAGTATCTGTGTATGGAATCTTGTTATAAGGCCCATCCAGCACAGCTGAGTGCATTGCTTGGAAACACACCTCAATAAAGGAAAATCTTAAGGGAACAAGCAAGAAATGGCTCTAAAATGCTCTGTTTTTAAGAGTGGAGACCACAGAGAACTTTTAGACGATTTAACCACTTGTCCCTTCTGGATTCTGTCCAGTAGAGTCCATCATCAAAATCTCAATAATAATCTGAATAATAATACAGGCAACGTTGAATGTTTGATTTCCACCAATAACTGTCACCCAGTTCCATATAGCACATGGCAGGAAATTGCTCGAAGGGTAAGGAAGTAATCTTTCCAGGTAGTTGAATTGAGAGCATTCTACTCTTTTCTTGACCATTGTCCATCCGGCTTCCGTACGTAGAAGTGCTGCTGATGTTTCATTGGGTAAGGAGAATAGTCTCCTAAGAAATTTATTTTGAACGATTTCTAACCCTCATCTCAAATTTCAGCTCCACACAATATTTGCGGTGAAGGAGCATATTACAATATAATTGTTCTATTATTGAAGGACATGCTTAAATGTTACATTGCAAATGGGCCCCTCGTTAGAATGTCTAGCTTGGGCAGACAGAGATAAAGAACAAGGATTTATTGTCACACCAGGATGAGGGAGGTTGCAGGAAGGAGGGAGAGAAGACCAAGACTTTATATGGTAATATAGGAACTTATTATAAGTTTCGATTTCCCAGAAATCAGGTGACTTACAAGAAATCAGGTGACTTACAAGAGATCAGGTGGTATTCTATTTTGCAAATCTATATAAAGGGGTGCACCCTGACTACTGTGTACAGGTTGCGTACTGATCGCCCTGTGCCTTTGTTCTGCATATGCACTTCAAATAAAAAATCCTGTTAATAACCTGCAAGAGCGTTTTGCCGCTTTGTGTGAATCTGTGCTTCAGGGACCCAAATAGCAGATATGTGTGGTCCTTCAGCGGGATCACTTTATTACCATTTTACTGCCCTTTGGATTTCACTGCCTCAATATGCAACTTCCAAGACAAGGATTCACTAAAAAGGACTCCAAGATATATGAAGTAGGGTTGCCATATTTCAAAAGTTTTTGTTTGTTTTAGTTTTGCCAAAAGTTGTTGAGATTTTTAAAAAATAGTTTTTGAGCTATTTCTTATTAAATTAGTCAAAATCTACACTACCGACATGGCCTGTCATACGTCTGGATTTTCCCGGACATTTCAGCCATTTCCGCCCAGAGTTTACTGGCTATGTCTGGAAAATTCTAGACATATGGCAACCCTATCTGAAGGAGCAAGAATGCTCTAATTCATGTTGACCCAAACTCCATTTATATCTAGGGCTGTGTTTTCCAAAGACCATCAGCTCAGTCTTGGAATAGTTTACGGAGAGGCTTTCTTGTTTATAATATGAACTAAAAACCACCAATAGATTTTTAAGTCCCAAGTGGGAGACTGAAAGGAGCCCTATGTCATCTGCATACATCTAATTGCCAGAGAACATGGACTAGGTGAAGAACTGCATCATTAATATAAAGATTAAAAAGCATAGGGGCCAAAATACAGCTCTGTTTCACTCCTTCGGTCGATTTAAAGGCCTCAGGCAAGCCAGCATTAAGACCAACTCTGACCCTCATTTCTGTGCCATAGTACAGTCTCAAATGAGTAAGAGAAGCCTGTGGTCAATGTTAGCATTGAGAAGTTTCTCCCCCCCCCCACCTGCTGTGATTAACGGACTCAAAAGCAGCAGAGAGATCAATAAAGGCTGCAAAATGATTGTTTTTACTGTTTTTGGTGTATTTTCTAATGATGTGATTCAACATAAAACACTGGTTGTTGTTACTGAATCCCTCTCTGAAGCCCGCTTGTCCTTCACACAATATATAATTTGTGTGGAGCCTGTCTAATAAATAGATATTGAGCATAAAGCTTGGCAAGGAATATCTAAATTAAAGGCCAACAGGGTGATAGGTTTTGAGGAACGGCTCTGTGTGCTATTTTTATAGAAAAAGAGGTGCTGGAACCCATTCTCTCAGAATGGCAATAGCACCAACCTGAGAGGTGCCGGAATTGAGTTCTGGCTGAAAAAAAGCCCTGGTTTGAGTCATAATGGACAAGCTTGGCTGAAGGCACACCCCAAAATGGTGTGTGGATGTGTGAAGGTTAATAAAGACAGAAGTTGCCTCCTCTTATTTCTTCCCGCCAAACATCCACACCTAGAGACTACAGTATTACGGATGGGCATTTGCAGAAGAGGGAGAGTGTTTCCTCTTTGAAAGGATGCACTCTGAGATGTGAGCAGCACTGGGACCGGCCCTACCAATAGACATTGGGTGTACATGGAGTCAGTGGCAAGAAGGTGTTGGAGGATGGAGCTGTGGGGGCAGCTTGCCCGGCCTTGCCCTACTTAAGCTAGCTTGTTGCCCTCAGGGGCAGTGGAGGGCGTTGCTTTACAAAGGCCACATTCCCAAGATAAGTGTAAAACACGGCCGCCATCTTGCACTGTCATGGTTTGCCCCCAAAGAATTATGGGAACTGTAGTTTGTTAAGGGTGCTGAGAGTGGCTAGGAGACCTCTACTGCCCACCCAGAGCTACAGTTCCCAGAGTTCCCAGTGAATGTGGGAATGCGGCCAAAGCAAGATTCAGTTGCCCTGCTAGTCAGCCTCAGGGGTGGGAATGGCTCATTATGCCTCAGGCTGCAAAACGTCTTAAGCCAGCCCTGATGGAGCAGAAACTGGTGCAAATAAGCATCTGCACTTGCTGTTTCCCACCCCTGGACTTGAGCCTTTGTCTAAAATCATTTCCCTTTTTCTGTTGGGGTTGAGAGAGCAATGCCCACTCCTGGCAGTAGGGCTCATGGGCATTTAGTATCTATGCCCTACCTTCTCTCTAGGGCAGCAGAAATGGCTCCCTCCTTTTTGGCTCCCCAACAACCTTGTGAGGTAGGCTAGCTTGTGAGGAAGTGACTGACTTTAACAGCTGAGTAGAGACCCGAACCTGGATCTCACTAGACCTCATCTGATACTCTGATCCCTGTGCCCACAGTGGCTCTTTGAACTCCAAGACAAGCAGAAGTCCAAGAAGTAAAACCTGGAGGGTTCTCTCTCTCTCTCTCTCTCTCTCTCTCTCTCTCTCTCTCTCTCTCTCAGCAGCATTCAGAGACAGTGAGAAATTTTCCAGCTGAATTTCTGTTTGCCATAAATTTGTTAAACGCCCAAAAGCTCTGCCAGGAAGCAGCAGTTGGGACTGTCATTCTTCTCTGTTCACCCAACAGTTCCATTTTCTTCCTTCAATTCTCCCTCTTCAATACCCCTTCTTTTGCAAAGGTTTTCTCAGTCTGCCCACCTTACCTAATGTGTAAATAATTTCTTGAGCTATTATGATGTACACCTCGGGGTGGGAGAAGCATTGCTTTGGGTCCAGCAAATTATGTAGGAGCTATGCAGGCAAGGGTTAGGTAAGTCCCTTGTATGGGAGATTACAGCGAGGGCCATGTAAGAATAGAAGCCGAAGTATTACCATTTTAAAACTTGGGCTTGTTTACAGCTGAATCCAGGTGCAATTCTAAAAGGGCAAGGCAACCTTGAATCCTGCACTTCCAGTCAACAGCCAGATCTTCAAGGTCTCATTTTCGCCGGCAGCTGAATGAGACGATAAGGAGTTCTGAGGCTGCCGGACCATTTCAGACTAAACACGGGAAATCACATTTTGTTCATGCTCTTCTGAATTTAATATAAACAAAGCCTCCCTTTAACAAGAAAACAGGCTTGAGAAAGAGAGGGCTGTTTCTCACTCGTGCAAGATAGTTTGTTCTTTAAATAAAAAAACCAAGAGTTTTGGGTAGTTCTCATGGAATATTCCAAAATTGCCTTCTTGGCTGCAGCAGTACAATCCACTCTACAACCTCAGGATTTCACCAAGACACTATCCTACCTGTATGTAAGCAGGCCAGGCTGCAGGTTACATTTGTGGCCTGCACAAATTTGTTCTTTCCTGACAATTCTCCCTTCCCCCTGCTATCCCCCTGTGTGATGTGCTTTGAATATTCAGGTGCTAAATCAGTATTAATGATGGTTATTCTAATAATAATTACAATCACCATCATTTTAGGGAAGTGAATACTAGTAATAATTGTTATGATGGCATCCATCTGTCTCGAGAGACAATGGAGTGCGCCTCCGGGGGTGTTAGTAGCACTAAAGTGACTCCCCTCTGGAGTGCAATGCTGGGCAGTGTGTAGGGAGGTCCTGGGCTGCTCAGACAAGAAGACACCCCCCTCCCCGGTCTTGCTGATGTGGTCCAAAGGAAAGCAGAGCAATACATTTGGCACCAGCTTGGCTGCAGGAGTTGCCAGAAGGAGGAATATAAGTCGTCACCCAACTATCTTAGGGACTCCACTCTGGATTTGTGTAGAGCTTGCTCTAAAACAGAACCTCAGACCTCTGTCTAAGTCGTAGTGACGATGTCACACCGGCGTGATGATGTCACGTTCAAGACCGACAACAAATAAAGAGATCCACAATCCCTTTTTTCAAATTTGCTTTTTTATTGCTCGATGCCGATCGACAGCAGTGCTGCGCTAGCTGTTTGACAGGAGAGGAAGCTCTGAAAACACGGGGCAGGACTTAGGTAGGCGTTGGTTCAACAGAGTTAACGAAAGAGGTGACAGAAAATGTGCTGGAAAATTATTTGCCTCACGAATAATCAGTTGATGAGGGGAAAGAAAATCCCCGAGATTTGGGTGGAAAGACATGGGCCCTGAGCTGTCCCTGTTCCCTGCCCCATCAATCAGCTGGTCTCTCCCTGCTGTGCTCCCTCACTTTCCACAGGAGGGGCAGTCACTGGGGTAGTAGTCCCAGTGGAAACCGATGGCGTCAATGACTGAACCAGAGCTGCCGCTGAAGTAACGCAGGACGGTGTTTGGGAAGAGAGGAGCTGCGTTGAAGCTGGTGCCTGTGTCCTTCCCAAAAGGGAAGTAGCGCCCCTTGTCGGTGACGAACACAAGTTTGCGGACGTAGCTTTTGTATTTCCCGGAGACTTGGATGATGGACTCGCCAGGGTGCAGGAAGATTTCCTCCAGATCACCAGAAGAACCCCCCACGTAGTTGCTCCACTCCTTGCCGTAACGGACCTGGAGACTGGAATAAGGTAAAAGACCAACTTCTTAGGCCATCTTCTTTCTTCCCTGATAGGCCAACAGCCCAGTGCAGAGTTAGCCACGCTTAAGCCCCTTAAAACAGAAGGTCTCAGTGGTCCCTAAATCTGCTCTTGATTCCTGTACACCCCTTTCCATCCCAAAGGATCTGGAAGTTCTCTACAGCCTTTCCATGTTATCATTTCGTTTGGCGCAACCAATTCACATTTGTTACTCATTTGCCTTGCGCAATTCACATAATTGCGCTGCCGATTGCAAGGACACCCCCCATTCCTCCCCCAATATTCCTAAGTTGTTGCTGAGAAATGTGGCCCTTGACCCAGGAAACACTTGGTCATGTTGTGCGAATGCCTGATGATCGTCTTCCAAAGCAACTACTCTATTCCGAACTTAAAAATGGAAAGCATAATGCTGGTGGTCAACAAAAAAGGTTTAAAGACTGTCTCAAGGCAAATCTAAAAAAATGTAGTATAAACACTGACAACTGGGAAACACTGGCCTGTGAGCGCTCCAGTTGGAGAACAGCCTTTACCAAAGGTGTCATGGGCTTTGAAGACACTCGAACTCAGGACGCAAGGGAGAAACGTGCTAAGAGGAAGGCACACTTGGCAAATCCACACTGTGATCAACTCCTGTCCAGAAACATATGTCCCCACTCTGGAAGGAGGTGTGGGTCCAGAATTGGCCTCCACAGTCACTTACGGACTCATTGTTAAAACTGTGTTTATGGAAGACAATCTTACTCGGCTACAAGTGATCGCCAAAGAAGAAGAAAGAAGAAGAAGAAAGATAAGTTGTAATAAATGATACAACTCCTCCTCTCCAACTATCAAGCTCTCCAAAACAGAACATGTTCTCCCGCTAGTTTTATGCAACGAGGCATCAAACATGTGACAGAAACAGAAGAACTTAGGTTGAAAGCTCTTTGGGGCAGGGTCCTGCATTTGATGACGCTGTAGAAAACAAACGAGGGATAGAAAGTTTGAGTAGCCAATTTCAAACGAGCGAACCCAGTATTATAATCTGGTTCAGAGCTCTGCACTGGACTCTTGGACCTCAAGTGTTCAGTATAAGGAAAGCGGGTTCTCCGTTTTCTTTTTGCTGTGGAGCCTTTGACTGCTCTGAAATGGTTTTGCTGCTGGCATCAAATTGGCAACAAGCATATTCAGACATGAGGCTTAAAGTCACTTTCAAAATTGAGGGTTAAGGTATGCACACATTAAAATAGCTAGAAACACAGCAAGACTGTTTCCCCTACACACAAACATATCTTCAGTGCTTTCTCCTACAAAAGGAACAGAGGGCACTTCCAGACTGCTGCTGTTTTGCAGGCGACATTCAGCGGCATGCTGGAAAACGAAAGTCGATTTTGTTTTATTTTTCAATTTCTTATTAGGCTTCTATCCTGCCCTTCCTCTCAAAAGATGCCACAGAACCATAGCATTGTAGAGTTGGAAGGGACCCCGAGGGTCATCTAGTCCAACCCCCCCAACGCCCAGGAGCTCTTGCGCAACAAACCCTCTCCCACCTCCCCCCAAAAATCCTGGACTATTTGCAGTAAGGTAAAGTGATGGGGAAATGTACTGGAAAGTATACGATAAAAATTGCTTGAATCTCCCTGCAAACCAATCAGAATGAATGCTCATCTAACCTCCCTGCAGTTTTTATTAAGGGCAAATGCTCGATACACAGGATGTGTGGAAGAGAAAGGACTTTCCAAAGACTGCCCTAAATTTCCCCGCAAAGAAAGGGTTCACCTTATTTTCAGGTCAATCCGTCCACCTATCGCTTTTTCTCCAAACCCTACAAGCGGCCAAGCCACGGCCTGTTCCCAGATCCCCACCAGCCTCCAAACACTCACCCCACGATGTACCACCGGTTCGTCCGGATCCTTATGGCAGTTATGGGCCCATCCAGCTGGTTCCCAGAGTGGGAGAAGCGTTTCCCGCCACCTCCGCCGTACTCGCCAGAATAGGAAGAAGAACGTGGCTGAGCTGGAATAAGACCCAAAGCAACACAGAGCAGATGAGCTTCAGCACAGCAGCCTAGCCCTGCACTTGGACAGCCCCACGGCCTGGGGGGCAGTGACACCTCCCTCCCCGCCCCGCCCGGCCCCCCTTGGGATTTACCTGTGTTGATGGTGATGCCGCAACAGAGCAAAGCAAGGAGAGTGAACCAAAACATCCTAGAAAAGAGAGTGTTGCGGTTTTAAAAAAAATCAATGCGTTGATTTCAGTACTTTTACATGTTTGTTCTATCCTCCCTGCCCTCCCATATCCGTTTCAAAGTGTCATACACATCCTGGTCCCGTTCCTCTAATTTTATCCTTCACAACAGCCCTGTGAGGTAGGAGAGGGTGGGAGTAGGTGAATTGGCCCAGGTCACCCGCTGAATTTGAATGCTGAGAAGGGATTTGAAGACAGGTGTAGGGATGATTGCGGAGTGGGGAGTGGGGTCCAGAGGGAGCACACTCCCCACCCGCAGGCGGCCTCAGCCTGCCTGCAGGCGTGCCCTTGGGGTGCGGAGCACACACACCCCTCACAGACAAAGCCACGGCTGTCTGAACATTGTTGCCTCTGTCTAACCTTTTGCGGTCTCAGTAGTCTGCGGTGTCCTGTCTGTGGACCTTTGTCTCTGAGACCTTTTATCTCCTTCGTCATACACTGTGCAAGGGGAAAATGACGCGGTGGAAACAGGTGCCAAAATAACTTTGTACCACCCCAGTATCTCGGGACCGGAAGATGTGTAAAGGTCACAACCCAAAATGTATCTGCTTGGTTTGCATATTTGTCTCAATAAAAGGAGGCTCCACAGGGCTGGCCGGCAGCTCGCTTTCAGCTCACCTGTGTGCAGCTCACCTGCATTATCAACTCCTGCCTCATGTCCCTCACTTCAACAGGCCTCTCCAACCAAAGCCTACCCACTCACTTTGGATACAGGAAGCTGCCTTAGTCCATTGGTCCATCTAGCTCAGGTTTCTCAAAGAAGGACTTGGGTCTCCAGCTGCTTTTGGACTACAGTTCTCATCATCCCTGTCCTGCTAGCTAGGGATGATGGGAGTTGTAGTCTAAAACCAGCTAGAGATCTAAGTTTGGGGAATCTTTGATCTAGCTCATTACTGTCTATGCTGTCTGAATTGGCAGCAGCTTTCCAGAGTTTCAGGCAGAAGCCATTCCTACCCCTACTTGGAGATGCCAGGAATCGAACCCGCGACCTTCTCTGTGCAAAGCAGATGCTCTGAGTTGTGACCCTTCCCTCAGTTATGAAATAGCAGGTGTTCCAAAGAGGTCTGAGACACACCTGTCAGAGCACTGCTTCATTACACTATCAAACCTGATACCCAAGCCAGCTTTACATCTATTTCTTTTTTAAAAGGAGTTCCTGTAATAGGATCAGGACAGCCAACTCCACGAAGGCCCTGTGCTACGTGGACTTTGCCATGATTTGTGCAAAGTTGAGCTTCCATTGGAAATCAAACCAAAGCATAATTTGAACCAAATTCACCAAGCATAGCCCTGTTCTCAGCCCTGTAAAAACGCAAAGAGGGAGTGCTTTTGAGCATGTGCAGAGTGACTTGCATTCACCCTTGAATAACCGCAACCAGCTTGCAATGAGTGGTAACGGCTTCTGATTAAGAACCATGTTAACATTGCTCAGTCCAGGCTGTGCATATGTTGACGTGGTTAAGCCAGTGGTCTGCTCTCTGCTTTCTTTATTAATACCTCTTAATTTGCAGCTTTTAAACCATTTTTCTGGAGCGTGGCCTCTGGAAAGTTGTCCCGGCTCAAATCCCATGCTGGCAACCTTAGTTCTGTGAACTAGTGGAGAGTCAGATGTTGGGAGACTCCAGCTCCCATTCTCTCTCACCACTGGTCATGCTTCAGTGATGGCCAAACTTGGCTCGCCAGCTGTTTTGGGACTACAACTCCCATCATCCCTAGCTAACAGGACCAGTGGTCAGGGATGATGGGAATTGTAGTCCCAAAACAGCTGGAGAGCCACCACTGTGCTAGATGGAGTTCTTAAGAGTTTGGAGTCAAGCAACATCTGGAGGGCCACATACCAAACAGCTAGCCAGCCAGCTTAATCACAGAATCATAAGAGTTGGAATCATCTTTTTATGTTCTGATGTTCTTTGTATACTGTGTTAGTTTTATGATGTTAGCCGCCCTAAGCCCAGCTCCGGCCAGGGTACAAATAAATAATCATCATCATCATAATCATCATCATCATCTAGTCCAACCCTCTGCAATGCAAAAATATGAAGCTGTCCCTTACAGGGATTGAACCTGCAACCTTGGTATTTTCACCACCATGTTCTAACCAACTGAGCTATCCAGCAGATCTTGAAAAAAAGCCAACAGGTCCAAACCCCTTAAAGCCAACAGTCAACCCCAGGCAGCCTTGAAGAGAAACCCCCAAGTCCCTATAGAAAGACCTTGTTCTCAGAGAAGGCCTCTTCAGAGCCTCCTGGAAAACAGGGTCCACTAGAAGCAGCCCCTCTCCTTAAAAAACCCACACACAAAAAGATCTGTTGTGAGGCTAAAATGAGGAGGGGGAGAGGCATGTTTTATGCCACCTTCAGCTGCTGCAAGGAAAAGTGGGATACAAATGCAATAAATAATTATTTGCGGAAAGGGTTGCGCTCAGACCCCGACTTACCTTGCAGCCTGCGCAGTCCTTGGGTGGGCTGGGTGCTCTGTGCCTGAGATCTGCAGAATTGGCCAAAGGGGAGCTTCGGGTTTTATACTGTCCCTGAAGTACGATATGGCGCCACCTTATCTTGGGAACCTGCCTGCTGGGCAAACACCATCCATCTATTATAAAACACTTTAATTGGCATTTTCCTGGGAGGGACCCAAACAAACGGGCCCTCCCTTTAATGGCCCACGGCAGCCACCTGCTGCGCTGGGGCCTAGCGTGGGGTGTGTGGAATCCTGGAGCCCCAAAGATGGAAGGGAAACAGCATTGTCCAACCCTGATGTATCCTGGTCGCCTTTGGAAAATGGAGGGAACTTTGATCTCCCACCAAATCTTCAGATTACTGCAGCTGTGTGGCCAGTGAAGATCTTCAGCGCTTAAATGAAGAATATTTAAATGGCACAATCATTGGTTTTTATTTGAAATATCTGGTGCTTGAAAAACTGAAAAAGAAGGTGCTCATAGAACTCATGTGTTCAGTTCCTTCTTTTACACATGCCTTAATCCAATGGCACAGGCAGGTAAAAAGATGGACACGTTGTGTTGACATCTTTGAAGATTTTATTTTTGTTCCTATTAATAAAGCAGCACCTTGGTTCTTGGCTGCCATCTGTTTCCCAGTCTTAATAGAACCCAATATATGAAACCAATCCATACTATCAGGAAGTTAGATCTTCCTCTTCATACGTATCAAGAAATTATATGCAAACAGCCTTGCATTCTGCTCATGGTTTCATTGAGAGGCTGTTCCCAATCAAATGTGGGAAGTCAAAAAACACACTAAAAGAAGTTTCTCCAACAATGCTATGGAAGGTTCAAACCTGAAAGTGCCACAACAGAATGACTTCAGTGATTGTGGAATTTCCACCTGATTTCGAAGTCTGAATGCTCCATTGGTAATCTCCTGAGAGTGATCTAGTCTGGCTCAGCCCAGGGATTTAGCCTAGACTTGGAGCGGAACCCCATGGGGGGAGTGATTTGTCTGGGCGAGACTCTCTGGGTTGTACCCTGACAGGAATGACTCTCTCATTCTCCCTCTCCCGACATTTTGGCTCTCCCGGAATAAACCTGTAAAACAGCAAACGCAGAGTCACCACTATTTCCAGATCCCTTCTAACCACAGAGCACAGCAAGGAAAGACGTACTATGGGGAGAGAAAGGTCTGCTTTGTCTCAGCTTCTGCCTGTGAATCTGGGCACCCCACAGTGGGAGGTGACAGCTGGGATGCTGCAAGGCCTGACCCTGCCTCTTCCTCCATGCTTCCCTTCAGGGACCAGCACATCATTCTCTGAGGATGACTCCTCTATTAGGGACATGGCATCAGCAAAGATGGGGATGGGGACAACCCGAGAACCAGTTGGCTCCACCTGCCATTGGTCCTGGGCCCTGCCTTTCACTGGCTCTGGGTCCGCCTGCTGTTGGGTGGTGTAGCCTAGTGTAGTGGTTATAGTGAGAGACCGGGACCCGAGTTCAAATCCGTGCTCAGGCATGAAACTTGCCGAATGAACTTGGGCCAGTCACCACCTCACACTATTGTTGTGAGGAAGATTAAAGAGATGTGTGTTGAAAGACAGGATCGTTGTAAGCCTAGAAGGGGAGGGTGGAGAGCTCCTGGGAGGAAGCCTGAGGTAAATTGCTAAAAAGCACATGGGATTTATTTTTTATTTTTTTAGAAAATTAGCACAGAGAGGTTGGGTGAGAGCCTTGGCATGCTTGCTCTCTCTACTTGAAGGGAATGTTTTTTTTCTATAGTCAAAAGATTGGCATCCGTGCCATTTCAGAACACCCCCTTCTGCCCACCCTACTACTGACCAAAGGAGAAAATGAAAACCCAAAATGCTTTGTGCTGTTTTCTTTTTCCTCATGTTCACATCCTTGCTCAGCCTCAAAGCTCTTAACAGGGCTGCTCCTCGGCCTCTGGGTTTAAGATGGGCCTAGTGGCTTCATCGCAAAGCAGCAAAATGGTGGAGAAGGAAGGCAGAAGCAGCTGCGTGCCTGACAGCAATGAGGAACGAGGGACATGCTCCGTTCTGGGGCCGTGCCCTGATAATGCCCTTTGAGAATATTGCCAGAGACATCTGGAAAGTAGCAATTCAGGCAGACCTCGCCCAAGATGAGGTTGGGTGCCAGGCCTGGCCCATCCCAGGCATATGCTGTTCTGAGAAAACATGGGAATGTCCAGAGGGCGTTAGGAGGACAAGGGCCTTCCGAGGCCACCGCACCCTGTCCCCACGTCACAGCAATGTGTGACCATCTGTGTGAGTGTGTGTGGGAGGAAAGGAGGAGATCCAGTTTGGGGCAAACACAACCTTTGCCAGTGTTTTGGCAAGGAGGAGGAAGTGGCTTGTGCGATTCTGGTTCCCTGCCACAAACATGCAACACGCTTTAGCTGAATTCAGCACAGGTTTGATGCATGCACCCATCGCCGGCTTTAAGGCGTACCTATTCAGTGTTTCATTAGTATTTATTATTGTTGTTTATTAAATCTGTATACTGCCCTACACCCATAGATCTCAGGGCAGTTAGCAACACAAAATTACAATAATAAAAACACAATATACGTATTAACAATATGGGTGTCTGCTATCTGAAGAGTTGGGGTGTGTGTGAGAGAGAGAAAATGGGTACAAAATCAAGGAACCCAGTGCCCCTTGCAGTCTCCTAGTTTTGGATACAATACGGTCCCTTTCCACTCCCCACCTGTCCTAGGCCTTACTCCTCACCCCATGCCTCTTCCCAGGTATCAGGGCCACCTGAGGCATAACCCAATATCATGGGTTCAAGCCCCACTTCAGGTGAAACGTTCCTGCGTTGCAGATGGCCGTACTAGATGATCCCACCCGGATCATCCAGTCTGGAGGGTCTCAGATCCCAGCCTTCAACTCTTGTTGAAAGCGGGGCGATTTAACACATGAAAACTCTAGTTATCCAATTCACGTCCCTTTATGAAACATTCCAGGCAATATCTCTAAGGAGGTTTTTTTCCCCTCTGCGAATTTCAGACCGAATTAAATGAAAAGGTACAATTTGTCCAAACAGATATTGGGAGCCCAGTTGGTTCCATATACAGCACGGGGCTGATACGGCCAAGGTTGCAGGTTCGGTCCCCGGGCGGGCCAGCTGCATTGCAGGGAGTTGGACTAGAAGAATGATCCTAAATAAATCTACAAGTCAGTGGGAAAAGGCCATTGGCGCCTTCTCCTCCTAGGACCTGATCTCCAAATCCAGGCGGCCTCCATCTCTCCTTCCCCGTCTCACTTGCTCTCCCTGTTGCCTTTTCCCTTCCTCTCCTCCATTCCCCGCCTGCCTCCCTCCCTCCTTCCCTCCCTGGGCGGCCAGGCTGCCTCTCTCCCCGCGGCCGGTAGATGGGGTCTGCCCGGCTCCCCTCTCCCGGCTGCTGCTGCCGCTGCTCCTCCTCTCGGGCTTCTCCGCGTCCCGCCGCTTGCCTTCCCCTTCCTTCCTTCCTGCCAGGCTGCTGCCTCCTTCCTTCCTTCCTTCCTTGCTCCCTCCTTCCCTCCCTCCTGCCTGCAAAGATGGACCCGCAGCGCCTCTAACAAAGACCCCGCCGCCGCCGCCGCCCGCCCAGACGCCGCTGCCGCCTCGCTCGGGTTTGCCCTTCTTGGCTGGGGGGCGGGGGGGGGCAGGTTGCAGGGGGGTCTCTCTCTCTCGCCTTCTCCTCTCCTTTCCCCGGGGAGCCCCTTTTGTCTCCGGCCGCAGCAGCAGCAGCGCCAGCAGCGCCCACCCACCCCCACCTCCCCATGCCTTGCTGAGGCTCTGCGAAGCCCACCCGGGGGGGCGGGTGGGGGGTGGACCCCATTCCGCCGCGATGGGCGCCCCACCTTCCCCCCCGCAACCACCGCTGGAGGGGCTTCCGCGTCGGGAGGGGGGTCTCCTTTAAAGCTCTTCTCCCCCCCTTGTCGACACCCTCATTCATCCTCTCTGAGCACCCCGGAAATTATCTGATTCTATTTCCAAGAAACACCTTTTCCCACTAGGAGACACCCAGCCCCCCAGCCCCAAAAAGTACCCCCCCTCCAGCACCCTAATATTTACCATCAGCAACCCCCAGGCATCAACATCTGCCCCAGTCAACAGCTGACCTTTCAGAGGTTTTTTCCAGGCACCCCTAGGTTTTATCAAACTTCTCCAAATCGTAAAGGAAGATCTTGAGTCTGGAAAGATAGCTCCCCGCTGCATACACATTTAAAAACAGAAACCCCTTTCAAAGAGGAGTCTACTTTCCTGACCCCCCCCCCCAATTCTCAATAAGCTTCCCCCAAAAGTGATTTCACCCCTCTGTGTAAGAGATCCCTTGTGGGTCTTATTTACATTTGCTGGTCATAATTGTAGAGAATCACACCAACATCTCTTTGGACGCTGTCCAGAATTTCTGCTGCTCTTGAATTTTCTGTTTACTTCAGCCACCTCTCATGATTTCTGTGGTACAACCCTGAACCTCTTCCTTCCCCCCACCTTATTAGAAAGGCAATAGATCTCCTTCCCCTATATTTTGAAGTGCACTTCTGAAATTGCTCCCGATTCCCCGATTCCAGACGGGCGCCTTGCTTAAATTTCTTTCTCCCATAGCTATAGGTCATACTGTCCATTTATGTCTACGGGGATCCCCAAATTTTCCATCCCTCTAGCAGGGAGGAGTCTGGGATTCTTCACCACATTTCTATAGGGTCCAGCATTTGCATCTGTTTGTAAAAGAACAGAAATAGTAGTAATAACAGATTCCCTAAATCTCAGTTATATAGTGAGATAACATTTGAGTGCCTGCCTACTCTCTAGTAAACACCTAATCCCAGAGGTTCCTGATATAAAAGCCAACAATTCTTTCAGCCTATCCAACATTCTGGAACCTGGGCTCCAAAAATCTGTTTTGACAGATTGTTCCTTTTCATTTAATTCAGTCTGAAAGTCGCAGAGGAAAAAACCTCCTTAGAGATATTCCCTGGAGCCTTTCGTCTCTGATAGCGGGACGTGAATTGGACAACTAGAGTTTTATTGTGTTAAATCTCCCCGCTTTCAACGAGAGTTGAAAGTAGTGATCTGAGACCCTCCAAACTGCCTCCGTAGTGCCCCATAACCCAAGACACCCACCTGCAACCCGCTTTTTCCAGATCCTTCCACATTCAAGTTATCCCTAAATACCTCCCCTTTCGTCCTAAGTCGTGAGAGCTTTCACGAACAGGTGCTGCTAAGGCCATACAACTGTCAAGAACACTCCTTTGCAGATTCTGGGACACCCCAAAACTTTTGAGCACCCAATATTGCAGACGTTTCTTCAGCCCTGTATACCTGCGTTCAGCCAGCCTTTCAGTAGGCACCTGCAAAATTTCCCCCCAGCTCAGAGCTTCCCCACTGTCCCAAGGGTGCCTTGAAATCCTATCTTCAGACCCAAGAGCTCATCCTGCTTCTGATTCCTAAAGCAGGCTCTCTCTAGCCCCTTTCTCAAAACCATCATTTCTTTAACCCCCCTCCCCATTTGTCCAATGGCTTTTCAGGACCCAAATCACCCCCTGCAAGCCCAGCTCTGTAGCAATGTTTTTGGGGCGCTCACTGGGTTAATACAACCCCCTTTAGCAGCCGGGCTAGGTGGGGGGCAGAAGTATTATTGCAATAATGGGGTGCAGCTAGCCTCGCCGCAGCAGCAGCAGACGCCACTCAGCAATGCGGTCATGGTGGAGCCGGAGCCCGATCGGCCCATCGGCTATGGAGCTTTTGGCGTGGTGTGGTGAGTGAGGAGTTTGGGGTCGCTGGGCGTCGTGGGCTGGTTGGACGCGGAGGAATGGTGGGGGAACGGGCAGGGAAACCGCCGAGGGAAGAAGGCTCAGAGCCAGCGGAGTGGTGGTGGGACGACAACCGTGAGTGGTCAGAGGGAGAAGACTGGGAGGAAGAGGCCCTGGAAGCTGAAGCAATAACAGGGCTTAGTGAGCTGGGAGAGTCTGTGGCAGAGAGCAGTCCAGAAGCTGAAGCAGGAGAGGAGGGAGGCCCGGAGGCAGAGATGAGTCAGGCTGGGGAAGCGTCAGAAGGGTCTCCCTCTCCTGCTGCAGCAAGCTTTCCTTCCCTCTGGTCTCCCAGAACCAGAAGAGGCATGAATATATATATATATATATATATTTATTTATTATTATTATTTTTTAATTAGAATGGCAAAACAAAATAAGAGAGTACACTGAACTGGCGAGATTATCAGCAAGGTTAAGAGACGTTACGTATGAAAAATTTATCAGAGAGTGGGATAAACAGAGTACAGTGGTACCTCGGGTTACATACGCTTCAGGTTACATATGCTTCAGGTTACAGACTCCGCTAGCCCAGAAATAGTGCTTCAGGTTAAGAACTTTGCTTCAGGATGAGAACAGAAATCGTGCTCCGGCGGCGCAGCGGCAGCGGGAGGCCCCATTAGCTAAAGTGGTGCTTCAGGTTAAGAACAGTTTCAGGTTAAGTACAGACCTCCGGAACGAATTAAGTACTTAACCTGAGGTACCACTGTATATGTAAAAGAACACTGTCAAAAGATCAATCCGTTGGCAAGTCTTGATTGAGCTTCGGTGTGTCAGTAGGATAATTTTATAAAATTAAATTTATAGTAAGTCAAGTAACACAGAGAAAGTAAAGTTTATGCGCGTATTTAAGGAACTTAATTCGGGAACGCAAGGGGAAGATCGGAAGTCTTGTCAAATTTAATCACAATTGGATGTACAAAGCAAGTCTTCGTTAGAGAATGAATAATTGTTTGTTTTTTATTTCTTATTTTGCCTATAACATCTATTGCATATTTCTGTTATAAAGTCTTCAAACAGTAAAGCATTTAAAAACGGGGGGGGGGGGGACAGAAGAGGCATGAAAAGGGCAAAGGAGAGGTTGGCTGCATGCAGGCGCAGTCTCAGATTGCTTGGGGAAAACCCTGGAGAGGAGGGGACTTAGGCAGCTGTGGGGAGGCACAGACCTTCAGTCTCAGCTTCTGCTCCATGGGTACAAGACCTGTCGCAGGTGAGTTGCTGTGCTCAGTAGGCCTGATACTCCTGTGCATATTTTGGTTTTGCTAATACAGGCATACCACTTGTTACATTTGCTTCAGGTTACGTCTTTTCAGGTTGCGACCTGGAAGTACTGGAAAGGGTTACTTCCGTGTTTTGCGCTCGCGCATGCGCAAATGCACAAAATGATGTCGTGCATGCACAGAAGTGGCGAATCGTGACCCGCGCGTGCGCAGACGCGGGTTGTGTTCCTTTCAGGTTGTGAATGGGACTCCGGAACGGATCCCATTCTCAACCAGAGGTACCACTGTAAAGAATTAACGCCAACTTGCTCAGTGTGATTTACTGCTGGCTCACTCCTGACACTGGGTTTTATTTTGTTTTTTGAGGAGGTTGAAGTCTGAAGCGGGAAGGAAGGGGCAATAATAATAATAATAATAATAATAATAATTTATTATTTATTATTTGTACCCCACCCATCTGGCTGGGTTTCCCCAGCCACTCTGGGCGGCTTCCACAAAGACCAAAAATACACTAAGATGTCACACATTAAAAACTTCCCTGAACAGGGCTGCCTTAAGATGTCTTCAGAATGTCAGGTAGTTGTTTATCTCTTTGACATCTGATGGGAGGGTATTCCACAGGGCGGGCGCCACTACCGAGAAGGCCCTCTGCCTGGTTCCCTGTAGCTTTGCTTCTCGCAATGAGGGAACTGCCAGAAGGCCCTCGGCGCTGGACCTCAGCGTCCGGGCAGAATGATGGGGGTGGAGACGCTCCTTCAGGTATACTGGGCTAGGGCAGGGATCAGGAAAACTGGAGCCTTCTGGGTGTCCGACTCCCACCATTGTTGACCGTTGGGGTCTGCTGCGAATTGCAGTCTGACCGCATCTGGAGGACCACTGGTTCCACAGTCCGGAGCCAGAGGACCAGGGGAGCTGTGAACGGCCATTTCAAAGGCGTTCTGTTTTTCTTTCTGCAGGTCGGTGACGGATCCCCGAGACGGGTCGCGAGTTGCACTCAAAAAGATGCCCAACGTTTTCCAGAACTTGGTCTCTTGCAAACGGGTCTTCAGGGAGTTGAGAATGCTCTGTTACTTCAAGCACGACAACGTGAGTGTGCCGAGGCTGCGAGGGGAGCTTGGTGGGGCAAAGTGTCCTCTGCTGGGCTGCTCTGCTGGGTCAGCGCATCTCTCCATGGGCCTATCTGTTGAGGGGTAGGGGAGCAAGTGGTCCAGTCAGTGCCAGCCGCCATCCAGATTTCTGCCAGTAGCCCTGATGTGGCATCACTCTGTACTTTTTCTGCGCTATGCATGGCTTTTATACACGTCTGTCGTGTTCCCACCCTCGCTCACCCTTTTTCTGAAGAAAAGGTTGCAGCATTGGGACTTTAGACAAAAGGCGTTTAAGAAGCGACGTAATAGAAGATTATAAAAGTACGCTTGGCATGGGCAGTGGGTAGAGCAGGATGCTGGCTGAGGTGGGTCATTGACTTGGTCTTATGTTCTTAGGACCTTGACGGTACCTTCTCTGGTTTGTGGTACACGTTCAAGCTGAGCTTTCATCACCATCATCATAATTTTATTATTTCTACCTCATCCATCTGACTGGGTTGCCCCAGCCACTCTGGGCGGCTTCCCACAGATATAAAATAATAATAAAACACCGAACATTAAAAACAATACCGTGGCTCCCACATTCTGGAGAGGTTTGGCCCTCTTGGTATTCAATTGCCTTTGTACCAGTCCCTTCATTTTGGGGAGGTTTCCTCTTTTGAAGTCAAATGTGACTAGTTTGGGATTTCCTTGGCACTTGTCTCGCTTCCCATAAATGTTGGTTTTCGTAACGTAATGGTCACTTGTCTCCAATTGGTTCTACAGAACTTACATCTTTTGCCAGGTCCTGGCTGCCACTTACGATTACAGTAAAACCTCGGTTCCCAAACTGCTCCGTTTTGGAACATTTCTGCCCCCCGAACGCCGAAAACCCGAAGTAGATGTTCCGGTTTTCGAACATTTTTTCAGAAGCCGAATGTCTGAAGTGGCTTCCACTTGAGTGCAGGAAGCTTTTGCAACCAATCAGAAGCCGCGCCTTGGTTGTCAAACACTTCGGAAGCTGAATGGGCTTCCGGAACGGATTACGTTTGACAACCGAGGTTTCACTGTAAGTCCAGGGCCACTGCTTCCCTGGCTGGTTCCTGGACTAGCTGTTCCAGGACACAGTCACAGAGCATTTAGAAACCTGACCACTTTGTTGTGACTGGAGCCCATCTGTGTCTCCGTCTTTCACGGGGGTATCTGAAGTAGCAAAATAACCTTTCCACTGAGTGATAAAAGAGGGCTGAGGAACCGTAACAGCTACATTGGTTTGCTGATGTAATGGAAATGCATTGAGATAGCTCATCCCACATAACTTTCTCTGACAGGACATTACAAAAACAAAAACACAACTGTTGAATGTTCTTTCTCTTGTTCTCTCAGGTCCTCTCAGCGTTGGACATTCTCCAGCCTCCACAAATCGACTGTTTTGAGGAGATGTATCCTTCGTCCTACACGCAGGCCGGTGCAGCCTGTTGCTCAGTTATCTTCCCAGCATTCCTTTGCTTATCATTTCTGCCCCCCACCTCTATCCTTTGCCGGAGAGGCCAATATAGGTATTTTCTTTTTGTTGTCTCCTTCCCACCCGCCCCTTTTATGTGTTCGTTCATTTATTTATTTTTAAATTGCTTTTCTTACAGTTTTCAGGCATTGTGTTGATTTGGTTTTTTTTCCTATAATTCTTTTGCCGTGCTTTTTTCCACCAAATTATTTTTTGTTTCCTATCTGTGTTTAGCTTCCTTAATTTACAGTTTGTCAAGCATTTCTCAGTCCCATCCTGCCCCCCCCATGCAATTCTTTCACGGCTTCTTCTCAGCTCCATTTCAGTCCCTTTCTTTGTATCATCTTCGTTTTCCTTCACACCTTAGTGTCTCTCTTTTCCTGTAACCTATTTGCTTTCAAGAATATGATTCATTCACTCCCCTGCCTGTTTCTTCTTATTTTACTTCCTTCTGCTGTTAACACTATTTGTCTGTCCTCCCCAATTGTAACCTCCATTAGTTCCGCTTTTGTTTTCAATAATCCTGCCCCCCCTTTTCATTCTTGGTGTCTTTTTTACAGCCAACGTTGGCCTTTTCCATCGTTTCAATTGTCTTGATGACATTCTTTCATTTTGCAGTGTGTTTTACTTTCCTTTTACCTGTCTTTGATCTGCACTGTGGTCCATCTGTATAATTATTATTTTTTAGACTTACCTCAATTTTGCCTTGCCCTTGCCTTTGTGTGTTCTGTGCTTTCTGCCTCCTAATTTTGCTGGAAGCAGTTGGTTCAACTAAATGGCGGAGAACCAATTTTTCTTTTTTGCTTACGATGGGAAGGGGCTGGGCACTCAGATACCTGGTCGTTCTCTGGTCCCATCTCCCGCATCCTCCTTGACGATGTCCACCAGTTACGTCATCACTGAGTTGATGCAAAGTGACCTTCACAAAGTCATTGTGTCTCCACAACCTCTCAGCGCTGACCACATCAAGGTCTTTCTGTATCAGATCCTCAGGGGTGAGTATCTATAAACATTTCTAAAGTGAGCTTTTCATTAACAATATGCCGCAAGGCAGTCAGTATGCAACACACCAAATTACAGTAGCTTCTAGAAAAACAACAATAAAAGCTCGTTAGGGGATGGGAATCACGTTTCAAAGGCTCATCTGAATAACTCTGTTTTCATGACACCATTACTATAGCAAGTAGGCAGGGATGATTCCTGCTGAACTTCTAGTGGCAGGGAGTTCCACAGCGCAGCGCCTGCCACATCAAAGGCTTGGTGCGTAGTCAAGGCCAACTGAACCTCAGGGATATGAGAAGCCACTAGAAGTGCCCACCACAGGATCTCTGTACGATGTGGAGATGCCACAACCTTTTATTGTAGGAGGGTTGATGTCCAACCCATTTCTGAAGTTCCATCCCTCGAATACCTCTTCCTTCCACCCTCTTAAATTATTCTCCTTTCCTTCATGCTTCTCTTCCCTTTTGACTTTATTGCTATTTTCTTCTGTCCCTCACCTGCGCTTTCTCAATTCTTTCTCAACCTCGTTCTATCACGCTTCATGTATTTTTTACCGCCTTTCAATCACTTCCTTCCTTCCTTCTCTGAGGTTTTTGTTCTTTGCAGAGCTGAAAACCGGATTAACCACAGGTTTTAGTCCATTAATTGTATGTTGTTAATTGATTTATCAATAATGCTGGCATATGGGTAAAATGATAGTTCTGAAGCCAGAAGCGTACTTTTCTTTGTTTTTACATCACGCAAGGATGTCATTTTAGAAGAGGCATTACCTGCTTTGTAAGAGAAGTGCTTTTAAGATAGTGCTAGCCCTCTAGTTTTTATAAGTAGTTGCACATTTAAAAACAAACAAACATCTTTTTAAAAAAATTAATTGGAGCCACTCTAAACAAACATCTCAGCCCTTTCCCCTTTTGCTTCAGTCAGCCCATTTGTTGCAGGCAAGTTTTGTGACATTGCAAATTCTTTTCTCTCTCTCCGCCAGGGCTGAAATATTTGCACTCTGCCGGTGTTCTCCATCGGGACATCAAACCTGGGAATTTGCTGGTCAACAGCAACTGTGTCCTCAAGGTAATTCAGCCTTGTAGCCTCTAGGGGGAGCCCTTAGGGTGCAATTGTCTCTGATCCCACTAATTAATATTGTGATTGCTAATCATAGGTTTGCCATATTTCAGAAAGTGAAAATCCGGACAGTAAAGTTGTTGAGCTTTTTAAGGCAAATTTTATTTTTGGTTTGTTTGTTTGGCCCAAGTTGTTGAGCTAGTTGAGCAAAATTTTTTTTCAGGTTTCAGAGCTATTTTTTTCAAGAAATTCAAGAACTTCCGATATGGGTTGCCATGCGTCCGGATTTTCCCAGACATTTCAGGGATTTCCTCCTGGACGCAGTTCCCAACAGCCAAATCCTGGCTGTGTCCGGGAAATTCCGGACGTATGGCAACCCTACTTAACGGGATATCTCATGGTTGTTGCTTGCTCGCTGAAAACGTCTGTAATGGAACTAAAACAGACCTGCATCTTGTCACGGGGACAAAGGAAGTAAGGATTAAAAGGCAATTTTGGCCTTTGTAAATAATGAATAAATCTGCAGGGATAAACGTTCAAATTAAGCAATGTTGCAGATGTCCACCCTCATTTTGGCAGAGGGCAGCTTTTCCCTGATAACGGAGGTGAAGCGGGAGACTTTTTCTTCTCATTTTGGAGAGAAACCATTTACCGTATTTTTTGCTCCATAAGACACACCTGACCATAAGATGCACCTAGTTTTTAGAGCGGGGAATGCAAGCAAAATAATTCTTTAAAGGGAGCACTGAGCAGAGCCTGTATGCGACGGGCTGCCCTTCTCTCTCCTTGGGGAAAAGCCTGCAAGCGCCGCACAGACGCTCCGCGTGGCTCTTTAAAGGGAGCGCAGCTCTTGGGGGCTTTTCCGGGAGGTGGGGGAAGGGACTGAGGGGCTGCCAGGGATAGCCGTGCGAAGCCTCCTCAGGGCAGCAGGATGAAGGCTCCCCGTGCCCGGTAGAGGCTTCGCGCGGCTAAGCCAGAAGCTAGAACAGCAAGAGGGAGCGCTGCGCAGCGATCCTTCTCGCTGTTCTGGCTTCTGGGATTGCCACGCAGCCTGCATTCGCTCCATAAGACGCACACACATTTCCCCTTACTTTTTAGGAGGGAAAAAGTTCGTCTTATAGAGCAAAAAATACGGTATAGTGCCAGGACTGACGTGGAATACATGAAACGACAGTGAAGGAAAGGAACGTAGTGTCACGCTCAGAAAAGCTTTTTTGTTTCTCACTATTCAATGAATCACCGCAGCCCACCAATACATAGCTGGGATCCATAAGAAAATCCTTCCAGGTCAAAGGGCGTGACTTTCTGGTAGGCTTGAGCCCCAAGCACCTCTAATGGAATCAGGGTCACTTGTGGCTTTGAAGGAAGTCGGTTCATTCCACCAGACTGAAGTTGGAGAGGACTTTGGGCCAGATGTCTTTGATCTTTGTCCTCCTTCTAGCGCCTGACACACTTCTTGTCATCCCTTCAGATCTGCGATTTTGGCTTGGCCCGGGTAGAGGAGCCAGATGAGTCCCAGCACATGACTCAAGAAGTGGTAACTCAATATTACCGGGCCCCTGAGATCCTGATGGGCACCAGGCACTATGGACGCCCAATTGATATTTGGTCAGTGGGCTGCATCTTCGCTGAACTTTTGGGCAGGCGTATCCTCTTTCAGGCCCAGAGCCCAATTCAGCAGGTAATGTATAGGAAGCCAGTATTGGGGAAAGGGCGGGAAGCTGTTGGTGGCAAAGAGCCTGGCTGGATCTAGAAGTGTTTCAGTTAAATGTGTTGTAAACTTGGCATGAGAAAATTGGGTTGACAAAAACGGGACTCCACAGCGCCATCTGGTGGCATAGTGTTAGAATGCATAAACAAAGCATATAAAACCTTTGCCAGTGTAGCTGAGTCCCATATCACCGTTGCTTGTAATTCTACAAAACGGCCACCAGTGGGCACCAGACAGCAATCCATCCATCCACCTACAATGCGAAAAAGACAAATTCTCATTTTCCTTAAAGATGGGTGACATCAAAATGACATTGCATATTAGGCTTCTAAGGATGTTGATCACTCCCAAGTTGACACCAGGTGCCTGGAAGGCACTGGGGTGAGGCAGGGCAATGAGGGTGGGGCCGGATGGATGCATCAGCCAGAGTCCTGTCACATAGGCTGCTATTGGTCTCACCACTCGTCCATCTCACTCAGTATTGCCGTCTGGCAGCAACCTCTCCAGGGTTGCGGACAAGGGGTGTTCCCACCTCAGCCTGGAGATGAAACATGGGACTGGCGTGCAACTAAAGGAGGTCCGATTGAGATACTTTTCAATGGGTTTAGAAAACAAAAACACACATTAAAAATCTGGCATCGTAAGAATCAGGAATTGGTGTGATTAAAAACGGAAAGTCAGGCTGGATTTCCAGCTGCTTCTGAAGATGCGTATTTGAAAGTGCCTTTGATAGTTCCATAGGGAGGAAGTTCTGCAACTGCAGGGCAGGGCAGGGCCACCACCGAGAAGGCCCCGTCTTTGGCTGGCAACGTAATGGACTGTACCTGTTGGCATTCAAGGCGGAGGGACTCTGTAGCTGATCATAACGCAGGAGCAGTAAATTTCTTTCTTTCCTGTCCTCCTGCTCCCTCTCGCCGCTCCCTCTTTCTCCTTCCGGCCTCGTGATCCCTTTGCACTGTTCTGCGGTCGGCAGCTGGACCTGATCACAGACCTCCTGGGGACTCCTCCTGTGGCCGCCCTCCATTCAGCCTGTGAGGGGGCTCGGGCCCACATTCTGCGTGGCAACCACAAGCCAGTGAGTACAGCTGGGACTGTCTGTTGGGAGGGGGGGAACTGTGAGGACGGGGAGGGAGGGAAAGAGGAAGAGAATGGCGTCAGGCATGTGCCCCTCTTCGCAGTCTCAACCCTCTCTGTCTTTTCCAGCCGTCCCTGTCTGTCCTTTACATGCTCTCTGGAGAAGCCACCCACGAAGCAGTCCATCTGCTCTGTCGGATGCTGGTCTTTGACCCGGTGAGTTGGTGTCAGGGAAGGTCTTGACCCGGTGATGGCCTCTTGGGGTGGCCTACCTCACAAGAATGTTGTGAGGGTGAAACAGGAAGGGGGGGAAAACTATGTCTGCATTTTTTAGCTCTTGGGAAGAATGGCGGGATGTAAAAGTAATGAAATAAAAATAAACTATGAAACGTTAGGCTGCTGCTCTCTCCCCTGCCCACTGCATGGGAAAGAAGCCGTTCTGGTGGTGCTTCCTCACTGCCACCACCTGCAAGCACCAAGTGTGTAAAGTGGTACCTTGGAAGTCATAGAATCATAGAAGAATCATAGAATCATAGAGTTGGAAGAGACCACAAGGGCCATCGAGTCCAACCCCCTGCCAAGCAGGAAACACCATCAGAGCACTCCTGACATATGGTTGTCAAGCCTCTGCTTAAAGACCTCCAAAGAAGGAGACTCCACCACACTCCTTGGCAGCAAATTCCACTGTCGAACAGCTCTTACTGTCAGGAAGTTCTTCCTAATGTTTAGGTGGAATCTTCTTTCTTGTAGTTTGGATCCATTGCTCCGTGTCTGCTTCTCTGGAGCAGCAGAAAACAACCTTTCTCCCTCCTCTATGTGACATCCTTTGATATATTTGAACATGGCTATCATATCACCCCTTAACCTCCTCTTCTCCAGGCTAAACATGCCCAGCTCCCTTAGCCGTTCCTCATAAGACATTGTTTCCAGGCCTTTGACCATTTTGGTTGCCCTCCTCTGGACACGTTCCAGTTTGTCAATGTCCTTCTTGAACTGTGGTGCCCAGAACTGGACACAGTACTCCAGGTGAGGTCTGACCAGAGCAGAATACAGTGGCACTATTACTTCCCTTGATCTAGTCGAACGGAATCTATTCCGGAAGTCCGTTCAACTTCCAAAAAGTTCGGAAACCAAGGCATGGCTTCTGATTGGCTGCAGGAAGCTCCTGCAGCCAATCAGAAGCTGCGGAAGTCACGTTGGGCATTTGGGTTCCAAAGAAAGTCCGTAAACCGGAACACTCACTTCTGGGTTTGCGACGATCAGGAGCCAAAAGGTTTGACTCGCAAGGCATCCGGGATCCAAGATACGACTGTATGTTCTTCCGTTCCACAGTCACAACACAGCCTTCGCTTTCTCAGCCAGCCAGCCAGGCTTGAGCCTGAGAACCTGCTGGTTTCTTGGTACCCACTGCAGGTTCCTTGAAGTGCTAGATTATCTGATTTTGATAATCCAAACCACCTGAATTCCATTCGAGAGCAGATCGCCCAAAGAGCTGCCCTCAACAGAAGCCCTGCCTTAATGCAGAAGTCAGTATAATTTTAGAAGAGAAATGTTTTGTTGCAGACCAAAGGCAGTGCTTAAAGTGAACTGTGGTGAGCCCCAAGCTTTGCTTTTCAGGTGTGAAATGCCAAGTGCAAGGTGCTTCATTCTCATTTGAATATTCAGCTTCCGCTGTTCAAATAGCGGTGAAAAACATTCAGTGTTTGTCTTGACTCTCCTCCTCCTGCCTGCAGGCCAAACGGATCTCTGCGAAGGATGCCCTCTCGCACCCTTACCTGGATGAGGGCCGGCTCCGCTACCACACCTGCATGTGCACCTGCTGCTTTTCTGTGTCCTCGGGCCGCGTCTACACCAGTGACTTTGAGCCCCGGGCCGACCCGAAGTTTGATGGATCCTACGAGAAGAACCTCACCTCCGTCTGGCAGGTCAAAGGTAGAGTGTCCTCTTCCCCAGGCTCCCTCCTCGCCAGGGACTCTGAGCACCCAGGCAGTTCCACCCTTGGCTTTATTCCTTCCTCCTTGTTGTTGCTGTTTAGTCATTTAGTCGTGTCCGACTCTTCGTGACCCCATGGACCAGAGCACGCCAGGCACTCCTGTCTTCCACTGCCTCCTGCAGTTTGGTCAAAGTCATGCTGGTAGCTTCGAGAACACTGTCCAACCATCTTGTCCTCTGTCGTCCCCTTCTCCTTGTGCCCTCCATCTTTCCCAACATCAGGGTCTTTTCCAGGGAGTCTTCTCTTCTCATGAGGTGGCCAAAGTATTGGAGGCTCAGCTTCAGGATCTGTCCTTCCAGTGAGCACTCAGGGCTGATTTCCTTCAGGTTTGATCTTCTTGCAGTCCATGGGACTCTCAAGAGTCTCTTCCAGCACCATAATTCAAAAGCATCAATTCTTCAACGATCAGCCTTCTTTATGGTCCAGGTCTCACTCCCATACATCACTACTGGGAAAACCATAGCTTTAACTATACGGACCTATACGAATAGCCTATAACTATACGAATAGCCAAGGAGGAAGGACCTTCCCCTTCATGGATCACTGCCTTTCCGTGGCAAAGGGGCTTGAATAACTCAGAGAAGCTATGAACTATGCCGTGCAGGGCACACAAGATGTACAGGTCATAGTGGAGAGTTTTGACCAAACGTGATCCATCTGGAGCAGGAACCGGCAAGCCACTCCTGCCAAGAAAACTCCATGGACAAAGACAAAAGGTCCTTCCTCTTTGGCTATTTTAATTTCTATCTTGGCTTGCCACACCAGGATCCCCAAGGCAACCGATGCTGATAGCGTATGCAATTAGGTTGTAATAATTACGTTTTGAAACAGCAGCAGAAGGGGGAAAAGATGAGCAGAGGAAAACTGCCTGGAAACTGAGACAAGGGTAGGAAACGTGATTCCCACCATCAGTTGTGGGTCTCGAAAATCTGGAGGGCCAAAGGTGTGCCCCACCCCCCACCTGCGCCCCACTTGGACTCCTGGATAATCCAGAAAGGTTGCACAGTTAGGCTCGCTTGCTAGGGCTGCGCCCAGTTGGAGACAGCGGGACTTACTTGCATGGAAACACGAACAAGGCGGTTTGTTAAATTATATATACTGAGGCCCATCAGCAGGGCAGGTCCTGACTTCAAGGAGGAGATAATCTAGAAACTGGCAGGGACCCACCCTCTGTCACAGCACCCAACTGATACGTCTATGTGGAAAAAGCTGCTTGGGAGGATTTTATTATTGTTGTTGTTCAGAAAGGCAGCATACACGTATCTTTTAAAATATTTTGTATTTATAAAGAAAGCACAGCAACGGTTTAAAAACAGGAGAATTTGCAACCATAAATTTGCAGCGTACCGCCACGTTAGATTCCGAAACTCTCAATGTGTCTTTTAATTGTTGCAATGCTTTTTTTGTTTTTAAGAAATGAAAAGTTGCTTTAAAACAAACAAGGAAGGCAGCATGTTAACGGTTTGAAATAAATAGCAGGGAAAGTGGAAGGAAATGGGGAAGCTTGTGTGTTTCTGTTGGGCTGAGTTACTGGCTGAGTCACAGGAGGAGTCTGGGAACTCGGGGTCATGTGCCGCCAAACGGGTTGTGGAAAATGTCGTTTTTGAGGAGGAGGAGGAAGGGAGGGGCACCGTGGCGCTGACCCGGGAGGCCGTTCTAAGCATGGCAGGGCAGCAAAGGGTTGCAGCTCAGTGGTTAGAGCACATGTTCGGTGTACAGAAGTTGCCAGGTTCAACTCTGGGCATCTCCCAGGGCAGGGCTGGGAGAGTCTCCTTGCCTGAAACCCTGGAGAGCGGCTGCCAGTCAGTGTGGGCAGTGCTGAGCCAGAGGGAGCAAAGGAGAAGACAGATTCCGACATTACTCGTAAGGGGGAATGCGGGAGCAGGAGACCCCCAGGCCCTGGAAGGGGAATAAGGAGGTGGAGGAGCCAGGATTGAAACGAGGGAGAAAAGGGGGAAGGAGGCCACGGGGGGGGGGGGGCTTTGAAGGTCAGGAGAAGGAGCGTCTGCCGGATCTAGGAGCAGGCAGGATTAGGCCAGCCTTCCCTACCCTGGCGCCCTCCATCTCCCACCAGCCCTAGCCTGCATCTCCAGTGGTTTTAAATGAGGGGCAGGGCCAGCACCAGACTTCAGGGGGTCCTCAGCACCGTGCCCTGACCTCCCCCCCCCCAGCCACATACAGTGGTACCTCGGGTTAAGTACTTAATTCGTTCCAGAGGTCCGTTCTTAACCTGAAACTGTTCTTAACCTGAAGCACCACTTTAGCTAATGGGGCCTCCTGCTGCCGCCGCGCCACTGGAGCACGATTTCTGTTCTCATCCTGAAGCAAAGTTCTTAACCTGAAGCACTATTTCTGGGTTAGCGGAGTCTGTAACCTGAAGCGTCTGTAACCTGAGCTACCACTGTAGTTGGATCAGCCATCTTTCTATAGGGTGTAATGGGGTGCTTTTCCCCCAGCTCCCTTAGTCCCTTTTCTCTCCATTCACTGGCCGGGGTTGGAATCTGCATCGGCTGAGGAGCATTGCATTCTGGGTAAATTAAGATGGCAGGTGGCTCCCCCGGGCAGAAGTTGAGCTTCACTCCCATGCCGACGTGCTAACCCTGCCTGCCCGCCGCTATAACAGCCTCCGCGATGAGCAACGGGGCTGTGAGGGGCCTACCTGAGCCCCTGCTGTTCTTGGGCAGTGCCCCGCCGTGTTGGCCAATGGTGCCAGGCTCAACGACGGGAGCTGCAGCCCCAAACCTTTGGAGGGCTCCAGGCTGGAGAGGCACGGGCTGCACTGTGAGTCATCGGTTGCGTTGGCCAACTTTGACCCATGTCTGTCACCCGCCCTGCAGGCTTGCTCAACCTGTGGTTTCCTATGTGCGTCTGTGTGGGGGAAAACACACAGCAACAAGGTTGTTGAAACAGCAAAAGGTAATAAAAACACCAGAGCACCACAGGGGCATTCTTGCCTGCCAGCGCCGTGACAGGTGGGATATAAAAGCAACTAAATAAAAGGCCAAACACCAGCACACTGAACTGAGCTCGGAAAGAGGCCTGCGGCCTGCAAGGCTAAGTGGAGAGCTGGCAAAATGGCTTTTTTTAGATCAGGGGTCAGCAAACGTTTCAGCAGGGGGGCAGCCCACTGTCCCTCAGACCTTGTGGGGGCTGGACTATATTGGGTGGGGGGTGAACGAATTCCTATGCCCCACAAATAACCCCGAGATGCATTTTAAATAAAAGGGCACATTCTACTCATGTAAAAACACGCTGATTCCCAGACCTTTCGTGGGCCGGATTGAGAAGGCGATTGGGCTGGATCCGACCCCCAGGCCTTAGTTTGCCTATCTGTGGCTAAGATTGGCCCCAGCCAGCAGCCTAAACGATCTGTTATTTTGGACTAATGGAAGATTGCAAGCAGTCGTCAATAGCCACCCGCATATGCACCACGGCAGTAAGTTTTGTGTCCAAGTGTGGTTGTCTGGCAGGCCTTGGGGCGGGGAAGAAAGGAGCCCTGGGTGGGAAGGAACAAGTTTTAAGGCAAAATTACAGATATGAAGAGCTGCTTGAACTATGGGGAAGAATAGAGCTGGGATGGGAGAGCAATGGTGAGGCTGGGGGTGAACTGGGAATGGAAAAGAGAGGCGAATAAATGGGAAGAGTGGAATGACAGGGACCCCTTTCTCCCTTTCCAGAGCTGGTGCATAGGTTTATCTTGGACCAGCAGCGAGGGAAACGCGTCCCGCTCTGTATCAACCCCCAGTCGGCTGCCTTCAAAACCTTCATCCGGTGAGTGTGCGGTGCTGCCCCCACACCTTAATAATAATGATATAATAATTTATTACTTATACCCTGCCCATCTGGCTGGGTTTCCCCGGCCACTCTGGGAGGCTTTCAACAGAATATTAAAATACAATAATCTATTAAACATTAAAAGCTTCCCTAAACAGGGCTGCCTTCAGATGTCTTCTAAAAGTCTGGTAGTTGTTGTTCTCTTTGACATCTGGTGGGAGGGCGTTCCACAGGGCGGGTGCCACCACCAAGAAGGCCCTCTGCCTGGTTCCCTGTAACTTGGCTTCTTGCAGCGAGGGAACTGCCAGAAGGCCCTCGGTGCTGGACCTCAGTGTCCGGGCAGAACGATGGGGGTGGAGACACTCCTTCAGATATACCTTAGGAGTGGGTTTCTGGCCTAGAAATGAGGGTCTTTAAACTCTTCTTGTTTCCACTCGGCAGCTCCACGGCGTGGCATTCCTCCAAAGTGTCCAAAAAGGAGGAGAGATGAAGGCACCCAGTGGACAGGGTGGGGAGAAAGAGAAGAAAGGAGAAGTAGAAAAAGGGAAAGCAAAGGAGGAGAAGGGCAGAATGAGAGAGGCTTTTCATCGGGTGATGGAGAGAGAGAACGAAGAAGAAGAAGAATAAACAACCACTCTTCTTAATCCTGCACTCTTGAATATTTTGACTCATGGACAAACATTTGGGGTGGGGGGAAAACGTCTGTGTCTTTTTTTTTTATTATGAATATTAATATTATTTGGGCTGGGTGGGAGGGTTGGGAAGGGATTGTTTTTTGCATCAATTGATGTCTTTTTCCCTCCACCTTTATTGTTCTGCACTGGAAAACCCTTTAGGTTGTAGGTATTCTCCTTGTGCAACTCTCCCTTGTCCGCAAACTCACCCCCAAATCTGCACTGTTCCCTGACACGCCTGTATTTGCCCATCTCCTGGCTGAGTTACCCTTCCCTCTCTGTTCCTGTATTATTAGGGTTTTGTATTGCTACCCCTAGAGGGTTTGCAGCTATTGGAGCGAAGGGGTGTTTGCTTTTCTCAGTATGTTCCGCCCATTCTGCACCAAACCCTTCTGTTCTCCCACTCCTTCAAAAAAAAATCCTCTTTAGGATCAGTGAAGGATCATCTTACTGGCTGCGTCTTCACTCCTCTCTGCAAGGCACCGTCCCGTAAATAAGCGGCATGTTTTATTCCCCTAAATGCTCTGTCCCAAAAGAACCACAGGTGTGTGGGGGGGGGGAGAAACCCAATTTCCTAGCTGGTATCCATACAGCCTTTATCAACCATATTGTTCTCTTAACTGTTCACACTGAATATTCTGCCACTTCTTACAATCAGAAAAGGGGACTCTGGGCCTAAGTAAACATGATCAGTGATGGAACACCAATAGGTTTTTAAGTAAGTAAAGTTACAATGAAAGCATGGGGCAGGGATTTGAAGTGTGTGTGGCAGAGAGGGCCCAACCTTTTCCTTGTCTGCTTGCTCCAGTTGTCCCACCACCAACCCCAGAAAGAAAAACACCTGAGGTACCACATGGCTCCATTTTGGCATCTCCCAACGTGTCCTTTTAAAAAAAAAATCACTGCTGGGGTTTAAAAAAAATCACTGCTGGGGTTTACTGTATAGTTTAGTTAGGCCTTCATCCTGTCAGCAGAATCTCTGGAAGTTTCCTTCTCCCACCACCCCACTCGGCAGCCAGAAAAGCACCCCACTTCTTAGCACTCCTCAAGGACACTTATTCCTTCCTTATTTCCACACCCGTTCGAAAATCTACCTCTTTTCTCCTAGTGTGTGTTTGGTTTGTGTGTTTGTTATTTTTAGCCGGGGGTGGGGGTGTTGAACTTTCATACTTCTGTTGTTAATTAATTTGTATGTTGTTTTCCTGGCTTTTTTTTGCGGGGGAGGGCGGCTGTTGGATGTTTTTTTTATTCTTAATTTTTTCAGTTTCATTTATTAATTTATGACCCCGTCGGTTTTTAGAGACTCAAATCCAGAATGCGTGTGTGCGTGTGTGCATTTTTCCTTTGTCCCTGAAAAAGAAAATGAAAAAAACAAAAAACACAACCAACAACCTGGAAACTTGAACTGTCTTGGCTGTAATAATTTTTTTTCCTCCTAATTTAATTGTGCTCCATGGTAGCTGAATTAAATTTATGCTGTGTATTTTTCTCCTGTGATTTTTTAAATTTCTCTTCCTATTATTATTATTACTATTATTATTCGACCCTTTGAATGTAAATGCACTTTTCCTGGCAACTCTGTTGCACATCTGGATCCCTCTTCCAGTTCTGCTGGGGCGGCAGGTTGCTTTTGAGGGGCGGTTTGGGGGTGTGCACCTGCCCCAGTGAGATTGGAAGCAGGAAGTGCCCATCTGTGGGCTCCCGGCCTCGCAGGGCGTGCTCAGGAAATGATGCGATCAGGACGCCTCGACCACATCCTTTTCTGCCACTGTTGTCAAAGTGGAGGCAACCTTTGCTTTGTTGGGGAAGTTCGTCTAAGGCAGAACTGCACACTTGGGGGTCCGCAAACCAAGGAATCCGCCGTTTAACAGGTGAGGTTTTCTATTTTTTTGGTCTTCCCATTGCTGTCCACTTCCCCACTCCTCTACCGGACTCAGCCATTAGTAGGTGGGAGACAGTTTCCTCTTAATGTCCCAATGTGGAAAACACCCAGAGGAAGAGGCCCATGCAGGGGTGGGGAATCCGGGCCCCTCCATGCCTTGCTGCACCTCGGCTCCCATCGCCCCTAACCATTGGGCATGCTGGCTGGGGCTGATGGGAAGACCACAAACTCCCCAGCCCTGCTGTGGGAGAGTGGCAGAGCATCTACTCTCCTCAGTCAGATGGGCAGGGTAGAAAATAAAAATTCTCACATCTTTATGGCTGCAAAGTTAAGCAGGGGGTGAGAATCCTAGAATTGTAGAGGTGGAAGGGCCACACGGGACATCTAGTCCAACCGCCCCTGTAATCTTTTGCCCAACTTGGGCCTCAAACCTACTACTGCTCTACCAACTGAGCCATCCTGGGAGGGTCTCAGAAAACTGGAACGGAACTGAGCGGGACTTCACAAGCAGGTTGAGCTTTGGGACTTGTAGCTGCAGAATAACAACTGCAGTGGTACCTCGGTTACAGACACTTCAGGTTACAGACTCCGCTAACCCAGAAATAGTACCTCGGGTTAAGAACTTTGCTTCAGGATGAAAAAAGAAATCGCACAGCAGCGGCAGCGGGAGGCCCCACTAGCTAAAGTGGTACCTCAGCTTAAGAACCGTTTCAGGTTAAGAACGGACCTCTGGAACGAATTAAGTTCTTAACCTGAAGTACCACTGTATTTTTCTTTTCTTTTTTAAAAAAGGGCTGAGGTTTTATTTTTATTTTTTAATACCGCTCCACCCACAACCCTCGATTACATCAAAAATAAAGCCCAGTACGACCGCCCTGATACAAATCGGTGATTTGACTCCTCCCTCTTTCTTCACAGTTTGGCTTCTACCTGACGCGCCCATTCTGATTCTGGATGCGGCTTTGATGTGGCTCCATCTAAGTGGTCCACCCCCTGCTACGTTGTCAACACCGGCCCCCTCGACGGGAGCCCAGATGCCTCCTTCCTCTGTGGCCTCCCCGCTCAGCGAGTGTGGCAGCTGCCTGCTGATCATGACAGGCATTGCCTTCATTGCCGGCCTTTTCATCGTGATCTCGGCCATCCTCTGCGACCGGGTCTTCCGTGGGTCCCTGCCCTCAGAAAGAAGGGGGCTGCCGTCTGTCTGGAGGCAAGGCGGGACGCTGTGGATCGAGCCTTCCAGGAGCCGCAGGGAGCCAGATCTCCTATCTAGGCCATCAGAAACGGTGCCCCTTTGGATCCAGCGCTCAAACGACTGGTTTCTGGAGCAAGGGAGCTACGATTCCCCCGAAGATACCCAGATGGAGACGCAGAGCCCAAGCAGCTCGGCCCCTTTCTGGGATGACGGCGAACCCACCTGGCGGATACAGCCACGCGTCACCCTGCAGGACCTACAGAGCTTTTTCCAGCACAGCGGTCGGGGTACCTAGAGTGTTCCGTGGCTGGTTTCACTTAAGGCGCCCAAAACCTTCCCTGCCCGCTCCACTCCTTCCTGAATCCAAGAAAGCTCAAAGGTCACTGTGGGGTGTGAGATGGAAAATTTCACTCTTGGGGTGTTAGGGCTTGGGTGGGAGTGTGTGGGAAATGGGCAAGAAAACATCTGGGGGTTTTTTAATACCCTGCTGGTTGGTGTAAACATAGGCTATGATTAGAGGACACCGGGAAGGAGAATTCTGGGACCAAGGAGTTAACGTCTCGGTGTGCTGGAGAAGGAGGCAAAAATGGAAAGTTGTTTTTTTAAAAAATAAGTAATGAGAAAACCCACAGACGTTTTGCTTCATCAAATACCCATTTTTTAATCTTTCCAACCTGACTCATTTCATACATCTCCCATGCAAAATATGCCATTTCGGCTTAAAGGGTTGGGGCCCTCTGGTTTCCTGCAAGTGACCAGCCCTTAAGGACTTCCTCCCCGCACATTAAACTGCCCAAACAGGAAGATCGTACGGTCACAGTGTTAAAAGGGGCTTCAGAGCTCAACTAGACCAACCCGCTGCTGATGCAGGATGAAAGCAGGCTTTCAAAAACTGCAACTGTGCGTCTGACATGCGCAAGAGTGAATGTGGCAACGAAGCAAAATGGTGGATGTTTTGTAATGGTTCTTGTGCTCTTGGCAATTTATGCTAATATGCTGATTTTAAAAAAATATGGTTGACCTGTGGCTTGTTTTATATTGTATTACAGTAGGCAGCATTTTAAGTTTGTATAGAAAATAATAAATAATTTAAAATAACTCAGTGATGGGCTGCTGGGTTTTTATCTCGTCATTCTCAGAGGGTTTTGTTACTGCTTTTTGAAGTGACGCAAAAAAGCCTTTTCTGTCATCGCCACCCAACACCCTGCCGTTGTGAGATGTTCTCAAGAAGCCTCGTTGATGGCAGGTGACGGCTCGGCTCTCTTTCCACAATGGGAAGCGGCAACACTTCGGAATACCCCTTGCCAGAAACTGCAGGAAGGGAGAGTGCTCCAGCCCTGCTTCTGGTTGACCACTGTGAGAACAGGATGCTGGACTAGATGGGCTGTTGGCCTGATCCAGCAGGCTCTCCTTATTGATATAGGGTGCGAAATGTCTGGGTTCAGCAAACGTCGGAATTTAATTAGAGCTTGTGTGTTAGAACCAGGAAAAAGCCAGACTTGTGTGTTTAAGGCAGATCCGTTTGTGTATTTGACCTCTGCACTCGCTGCTTCTAATCATTTAATTAGCATGTGTGGAACCTAATTATTGCTGCACAAACTTCCTAAACTGTGCATTAGGTAAAGGTAAAGGGACCCCTGACAATTAGGTCCAGTCGTGGCTGACTCTGGGGTTGCGGCGCTCATCTCGTTTTTTTGTCCTAGGGAGTCGGCATACAGCTTCCAGGTCATGTGGCCAGCATGACTAAGCCGCTTCTGGCGAACCAAAGCAGCGCATGGAGACGCTGTTTACCTTCCCGCCGGAGCGATACCTATTTATCTACTTGCACTTTGATGTGCTTTCGAACTGCTAGGTTGGCAGGAGCAGGGACCGAGCAACGGGAGCTCACCCTATCGCGGGGATTTGAACCGCCGACTTGATCGGCAAGCCCTAGGCTCTGTGGTTTAACCCACAGCGCCACCTGTGTCCTGTGCATTAGGTTCTCCTTAATCCTAGGAAATCAGTATGTGTTGAAAGGTTCTAGACTAGAGTCAGCCTAATTTCCTGGGGAGAATGAGCCATTTGCACATCAAAGGAGTGGGGCCTTGGCGGGTGTTAGAAAAGGCAGAGGTAATGAAAGCTTGGGAGGAGCATCGTGATGCAAGCTGACAGAAGTTGGGGGTCAGAAGGACATGACTTTTTGTCGCTGGGCTGCAAGGCTGCATCTGCGAGAAGAACAGAAACCTCTTGGAAAATGATGCTCTGAGCCGCCCCATCTAGACTCTGGTTGCGTAGATGTGTATATAAACCATGCACCATAAAGACACCACAGTCTCTGCTGTGCCTCATTGTTCAAAAAGAAACACAGCGCTTACAACCCCTGGAATCTCTCACTACTTGGGGATAGAGTGTGTGTGTAACATTATGTCCAGCTTTTAATTTACCTTGAGGCCAGGAGTGCCAGCCTGGCCCCATGAGTGGCCAGGGCCGTGGGTGCCATGCAGCGTGCATGGCCCTGGCACTGAAGTTTGTGGGTGCCCAGCCCCTTCATGGGGAGTTTTGTGGGTGCTCCAGGCCCCAGGGAGTTGGCAGCTATGCGGAAGGCTTTTCATAAGATGTTTTAGGACTTTTTAAATATCGGAGCTGTATTTGATTTGGAAGTTTTATTTGTTGCACTGCTCAGACTTTTAAATACCACGGTTAAAAGAGACGATGGTTTTAACATGGTTCGCTGCTCTGAACTGTGCTTGTTCTCAAACAAATATGCCAGCAGATGCAAGTTCCAGTTAATACCTGTACTCATGACTGATAACCGCACACACTTAGCATCTTTCTTTTTTCCTTCTGCTGTAACCTGTCAGGAAGATAGAAGTAGGTGTAAAGCATAGATGATGCTCACTCCAGTGAGGAAGGGAGCTGTTTCTGGCAGGGGAATTGAAAGTGACTAGTCTGTGGGGGAAGGCCCTTCACTCTACGCAGGCATTATGACTTTACCTCAGATGTGAAACTGACAAGGGCCTTCTGCACACTTGGCCTCCTGACTAGGGCCCAGTTAGATGCCTCCATCTTAGTTTTTGTTTTTTAAGTAAAGAAGCTGTGGGAAGCTGCCTGTTTGAACTGACTAATGGGAGGTTAGGGCTGCTTCGCATCTGGATTTTTCTGATCCAAAGCCATCCTTGAGTGAGTGGATTACAGGAGGGATTTAAAATAAATGATAATTGTGTGCTTCACAAATGAGGCAGTCCACATGGACTAAAATTATGTAGCTGCACCACTGCTCTCACCCCCTCTGACTCTCACTGGCAAAATGGGCCCACTGGCTCAAATCATGACGCCAGATCAGTGAGAATTGCCTTATGACCTGAAAATATGCCCCCTGGGGCACCTTGACTTCCACACGCACACCAACCCCCAACAGAGCAAGGGGTTGTATGTGAATAAGAAGCACGTTCTGGCCACATTCACACTGAAAGCACTATGACGCCACTTTAAACAGTCATCATGGCTTCTTCCCCCGAAGCATCTTGGGAGCTGTAGTTTGTTCAGGATGCTGCTGAGAGTTGTTAGGAGAGCTCTGTTTCCCTCACAAGACTAAAATCCCTAGAGCGATTTAACAGATGATCCCTTTCACAGGGAACTGTGGGGACTGTAACTGGGAGGGGAATGGGGGTCTCTTAACAACACTAAGCAGCCTTATCAAACTACAGCTCCCAGGATTCTCTGGGAGAAGCCATGACAGTTTAAAGTGGTACCACAGAAATTTCAATGTCTCATGCGAATGTGGCCTCTATATGTTCTGGAAGCAGCCGCACCGAGCACTGGCCCTCAAGATATTTGGCTGGGCTAGAGGGCCTGATCTTACCCTAGATTACCTGCATCTTTTCTCAACTATCTACTTCTTGCTTATATTAAGAAGCAGGCTTTTCAGATATAAACGCGCCATCACATCCTTCGAAACACACTAGATGCAGATTATCTCGCAAAACCTTTGCAGTTCCCATGTCCAGCCTTTCCTGTGGTTGGTCCTGTGGTGTCTTCTATGTTTATCTCAGCTCCTGCTGTACTCAAGCCATTCTCAGGTTGTCAAAGACCTCGCCTCCCCATGTTTCTTTTGTTGTTCTTGCCCCACAACATTTAAGGACAGGCTAACATGCCAAAATTGAGCAGGAGAAAATCTTCCCTTCACACTTTCCCCATACCTGGATAAATTTCTGCTAAATCTCACCATTTTTTAGACGGTTGCTAATGTCACAGGAAAACAGGGACAATCCCACCAATAATCCCTGCCCACACTGCTTACTCTTTCAAAGAAGTTTTTCAGAGTTTTTAAATAAGTTTTAACTGGTTTAGATGCTTGGTTTTTAAAACTGATTTTAGAATAAGGAATTGCATTCTGTTATTGAATATGTTTTGCATTTTAAAACTCATTTGAATCACAGCACCAGTCACAAGTACAGGTAAAACGGGGTTTGGACCTGCTGCCCTCGATGCTAATACTATTTATTTAGGAACATGCACCATTTTGTTCTAGAAAAAGATACTACTACCTCGAATAATAATGTATGTGTCATATCAATTTTCTGGGCAACCAGTGGCTTTGGCGGGTGGGGGAAAATAGCTATTGAACAATGTAAGTTGCCAACATTTGGGGGGCCAGTGGGCATATTTGGAATTTTGAGAAAGTCTCCTTGGGCGCCAGACACACAATGGCTGCTGGGTTAGCATATCGCCAAATGACTTTGGTGATGGGCCCATGAAATGCTCCTGCAACAGTCAGCCCATCAATGCAAGGAAAGGCACCTACACTAGCTACTGCCAGATTCACTCAGAGAGAAAAACTCTATGAAGGTTAGTCTAGTGCCATCATACACAACACACAACTGTTTATTGTTGTTTAGTCATGTCCGACTCTTCATGACCCCATGGACCAGTGCATACAAAGATATTAGCCACAACCACAGTGATGGGGGCAGAGAGAGAGCAGGTGACAAAGACAAGGCCCAAGGCATTTTGCTGCCTGAAGCAGAGCCCAAGTACATGCAGCAACTATCTCGGACAGGGCCGGGGAGCCCATGCTTCTCCTTGAGTTGTTGGGCCGGGAGGCAGCTAGCTGTGGGACCACCCCTGAGAATGCCCTCTCCATTGTTGTTGTTTAGTCATGTCCAACTCTTTGTGACCCCATGGACCAGAGCACGCCAGGCATTCCTGTCTTCTACTGCCTCCCACAGTTTGGTCAAACTCATGCTGGTAGCTTTGAGAACACTGTCCAACCATCTCGTCCTCTGTCGTCCCCTTCTCCTTGTGCCCTCCATCTTTCCCAACATCAGGGTCTTTTCTCTTCTCATGAGGTGGCCAAAGTATTGGAGCCTCAGCTTCAGGATCTGTCCTTCCAGTGAGCACTCAGGGCTGATTTCCTTAAGAATGGAGAGGTTTGAAATTCTTGCAGTCCATGGGACTCTCAAGAGTCTCCTCCAGCACCATGCCCTCTCCATAGCGGCTGCCAAATAACGGTGGCACCATTCTCTGGACTGGATGTTAAGATGCTGGGAGGAGGACCTGGATAAAGCCCTCCCACCACCCGCAGTCCAGCGCCGATAAGGAGACAGGCAAGGGGAGATAAGCAGCCGAGGGCGTCAACAAATGTTTGTCGCCTTGCAGATGTGCAGACGCTCAGAGAGGGACCTTGCTAGCCTAGTCTGGACGCAACTGCTCGACAAGACCATTGGCAGGTATGGCGAAGAAGCCACCCCACTCGCCCCCAATGCACCCGCTTGGTCTCTGCCAGTGCTGCCCTTCCCTGATGGTTTTTGCTTTTCAAAAGGGTGGGGGCGGAAACAGGGTTGGGAATGGCGTTTTTCAGTGGGTAAGGCTTTGCTCCGTTCCGAGTCCCACCTTTTCGTCTCTTCTTTTTCTTTCCTGTGATAGAGGAAGGCAGGAATTTGAATTTTTAATTTGAATTTTTAGCTGTGTTTATGTGCGTGCATGCCCACAATTTGAACTCAGCTTCAAGCAGCAAAAAGTCTCAGGCCAGCACTGCGTTCCCCGCAGGACAGCCTGTGGAGCCCTGGCAAGGGTCTTCTGCAATTTAGCAGCTGGGTGGCAGGTAGAAATTCAACAGGTGTAGTATGCTGCCTTCATGCCAGAGGAGGGGAGCTTGTACCCACTGCAACCAAGAGCACAGAAGCTCTGCCAGAAAGGATGTTTCAGCCACAGATAAATCTAATGGGGCTAATAAAGTTATCCAGTCTTCCTCTCCCCGCTGCTCCCCAGCTGCCCTCATGCATTATGAAAGCTGAAATAGGCTCCTGTTTTCACCTGTGGGGGCTGGTCATTGCCTCTTAGCCTAACCTACCTAACAAGGATGTTGTGGGGATTAAATGACGAGGTGGGAAACCATGCACACCACATTCAGCTTGTAGAAAAGGTGGAATATAGAATAATAATACTGATAATAGTATTAGGTCATAAAGAGATACATTCTGTTGTTTATGAATTACAAACTGAATTAATAGTAGAACAGAACTTTATCCTTTATGGCAGGATATAACTAATATATTAATATATAATATGAACAATAGGCCAAGGAGATAGACAGGTCACCGACAGTCAATGTTAGTTTTAATTTGCAGCTATACATATACCAGCTATACATATACATTTACACATGCAAAATCCTCATAAATCTATGCCATCTTTTGTTTGCTTTCTGGGCCACGCAAATGACAGATGCCCGGCCTTGCCTGGTGGCGGCGCCAGCCGTGAGTTGAAAATGGAGAGCTGACAGCTGTCTAGAAACGATAAGATTGCCACATGATGAGGAAGGCCTGTTGAAACATGGCAAGTCCAGCGTCTCAGCCGGATTCTGCACGCCTGGCCACATTCTAGGATTCACCACCTGCACCCTTTTAATATGTTGAGCTGCAGGTTGCGAATGCTAATTATATGTATTTAAAATATTTCACCCCTCTGGGCACCTGGTGCAGCTGCTTCCCTGCATTTCCACAGACCAGGTTACAGCAGGGAATCAAGCCCTCGGACCACCTTGATACCACCTAAATAGGGCCGTGTCCCCAAGCGCTGTAGAAATCCTCGGTCCAGATCCTCGGTCAGTTGCTGCGTGGGGCAAGTGATCTCTCTGGAAGCCAGTGGAGACAGGCATCGCCATCCTTGTTGATGCATGAAAGGGAAAGCTCATCTCCACCCAAACTCTGTCACATGGGCAGAGGCCATAACGAAACCCTTGCAACTGGAAAAACATGATGGTGGGGTTGAACTGTAGAGATGGAGAGGAATTCATTCATAACCAATTAGGTAGAAATTCAAACACATCAGATTTGCGTTTTCCAAACCAATGAACCAAACGCCAACTACCCTTTCAAACTAGCACTTCTCTGATTTAAAAGCCTATTTGAGGTAGCTGCTGGCTGCCCTCTTTTCTCAATGCATGCTCTTGGATATTTCTTTTTTCCCATTTATTTATTTATTATTAATGTTGCCATACATATATGAAATCTTTACATAATGATACATATACTTTATATTCGTAAATTCACACTTTCACATTTCATTACGTACCAACATTTATCCATTTCTTATTTCTTGCCCTGTGTCTTCCCTCCACCCCTGCGTGACTTCCTTGTTATTATTTTGTAACTTTATTATTGAGATTATAATTTTGTATCTTAATAATTAAACATTCAATCTTATATATCTGATTAGCTTAACTTAACTTTGTGAAATCAGTCTATACATATCAATAAATTCTTGTTGGAGCATCTTTTGGTCATGTATTCTTCTACACATTTTCATTCCTGATTGAGATTTTGATTAGATTGCATTCTAATTGTTGCTGTCATTTTTGCTAATTCAACCCAATTAGCTCTTGGATATTTCTTTTACGTTTTGTCCTCAGGTTGCTGTTCCTTGTTGCTCCACTGCCTTCTGGAGTTCTGACACTATGGAAACAAGATCTCTTCTCAGGCAAATAATGGGCTACAGCATGCCTTTTGGCTTCCTTATCCTTTTGGCCGTGGCCACAAATGGTGAGGAGAATGCAACCACACAACCTCCAGACAAATCTTTTTTTTTTTTTAAATAATTTTTATTAACAGGCCAATCACATCACATTATCCATATCACATTAATTCCAAATTATACAGCCAAATTTTACATTTTGTTGGGGGTACCCATACATCAAGCTCCACACGAGTCCAAAACAGCATCACTTATCTTACTGCTTTAATTAGACAGTTCTGTCCAGTTTGATCCGGATAGTCCTTTATTACTTCCTTTCTCTTCTTGTTGTTATCATAAATTCCTTTCTTTGCGATCTCCGATGATTTTCACAAGCAGGTTAAAAGCTCCACCCCCCCCTTCATTCCAAACATACCGTCTCCTTGTGGTAATTCATCAGAAGATTTACTTATCCGTCCGTCACTCCTGGTCGCAGAGATCCATTAATCAGCAGTCTTATCAGTCGAGCTTTACTTGATGTATGTGCTTTCAGCTTCATTTCCAATTATATGTTTCCAATTATAATTCCAAGCTGAAGCAACCAGCACGCGCTGATTGGAATCGGCGTCAGGAAGATCTGACTTCACCGGTGGCCTGTGCCAAGTGTTCGGCACCCCCATCTCTCGTTTCAGGGGGTGCATTGTGAACACCGCTGGCAGGACAGTGCCCCCCCACATCCTGAGGGGGATTAGGAAGGCTGCATACTTCCCATAGCAGCCCCTTAGTACCTCGTATGGGTCAGAGAGATGTTATTGTCGGCCATCTTCCAACGCACCACCTGGTGGCCCCCCAGACTAATCTTTGCCTCATCCCACTGTTGCAGCTAACAAATCGTCTCAAAATGCAACCGCTTCGGAGACAATTCATACGTCCAGAGAAAGTAGAAAGAACAAAACCTCTGGAGAAATGTATCCTGCTGCCTTGAAGCCTCTTTCCAAAGAATTGACTGCAGATGCAAAATGGCCTCTGAATGCAACCATCAGCACCACTGAGAGGTCACCCGGCAAAAAACCAAGCGCAAAACCAGGACAGGCTAAGGGAGAAGGAGAAATGAGGGCATCGCCTAAGTCAGATGAGAGGAATTCAACCCAAACCCATGGTAACAGGGGCTGTGGGGCTGGCTGCCGACCATCAACTACCACACCAGCTGCAAGAGCTGGATCTGGTGGTCTGACAGCAAACCTTGGAATCATCATGGCAGTGGTCCTCTCTCTCCTGCTCTGCTTCTGACCCTTGTCTGACCCCCTTGGTTGACGTGGGGCTTCCAAACCATGAAGTCCACTCACTCAGGGATGTGGTAGGATTGTAGTAATGCTGAAAATACGCCCTGGGACATCTCCTCCGCTTCCAAACACCTAAGACCCAAATATAGTGTGTGTTTGTGTGAAATAAATTCTATATTTTTTGAAAGAATCGCTCTGAGATCAGCCCTTTAAGCTCTCAGACTGTGTTACAGTGGTGAGACTGTACTACTCCTCTATTACCTTCCTCTCACCTCAAGAGTTTCGTATGTACACCAGCGCATCCTTGAAGACCTAGATTAATCCGTCTAACTTTGCAGTTTAACCACCCAGCCGTTCCTGTGTTGGTCTTGCCTTATCGACTCCTTTTGTTGTTCAACCGTTGCAGTTCATGGGCCCTTATCAGGCTGCCCCAGACAGGCATCCCTTCTGTGACTTTCGTTTCTTCGTGCCCTGTGGCCTGAAACAAAACACTGCCATGCCAGAACTGAGCAGGTGAAAAGCTTCCCTTTGTGCTTATCTCGGTGCCTGGAGAAGCCTTTTGCTCTGCCACCCCTGCTGAGGCTCCAAATGAGCTGGACATCTCATTTGGAATCAACCATGGGGAGGGGCATTTTTTTCGAGACTGCAACAGGGGAGAAAAGGCTTAAATTTGCCTTCCCAACACACCATGCTGACAGGGTCCGCCATGAGGCCCAAGTGGCGTAGCAGTTCATCGTAAGATTGTAGTGTTGGAAGGGACCCCGTGGGCCATGTAGTCTGACCCGCTGCAATGCATGCATCTCAACACACCGTCTCCCATCCAATTTGAAACCATACTGGGCCCTGCTTAGCTTTGCAAATGTGCTAGCAGTTTTCTTGCTGCACCACTAGGAGTGGGGTGTTTGTTCAGGGGCTGGGCACACAAGGCCCTGGGTCCAATTCCTTGAATCTCCATGTTTTGGGCCACAATTCAGGGGTAGCTGAGCAGGGAGTCCTATGGGGGAGCGTAGTGGTTTGTCTAGGGTTTCCACCAGGGGTGCTTCCAAGCCTGGAGATGCTGGGAATTGAACCTGCAAAGCAGAGTGTTTGCTCTGCCACTGAGCTATGGCCTTTCCAAGGTTCAGCTCCCTCTTCCAGCTCAAATACATAATGGTGGCGCAGTGTTGAAGACCCTGGAGAGCCCATACTGCACAGAGGGTGCAAGACTAGGCGAGGTGGGCCAGGGGCTCAGTGTGTGCTTATTTTAAAATAGCCTTGAATTCTACTTCTGAAAGTGAAGCATCTATTTATATTGTCTTTATATTGTCTTCCCAAGAGTCGCTTGGGAAGAAACCAAGTCTTTAGTGTCATCAGCTCAGTCCTGGGAATACTCTGCCAACAGAGATTCAGCAGGCACCTTCTGTTTCAGTTTTTGAAAGCTTGCCAAAAACTTTTCTATTCAGTCAGGCTTATGCAGGCAATGAAGAATGCATCTTTTCAAAATAGTTGGCTGATTTCTGACATGTGTGTGATTATTTATATGATTGTTGAAAATGACTGATTTTTTAAAATGAATAGTGGAATATATAGATAGTAAATACAAATATATAAATATTTTATGATCAATCAAATGAATAAATATTATTTGGGGAGTGTAGAGGATATTGGGGAAGGATTTTCCTGATCATTTGAGTTTGCTGTGTAATCATGGGATTGCATTTACTGTTCAAAGGATTTTGACATGTTGTACTTCCTGGTTTCCTCAGCTGTACTATAAAATAAATAAAACAGTATTGTAGATGCTAATTTTTTTAAAAAAAATTCTTTCTTACCTGCACCGATGATAGTCATTGTTTGGATGGGAGGCTTTTATCCATTTCCACAGTCACACAATCAATCAATCAATCAATCAATCAATAGCTGAACTGGGATTCACACAGTCACAAAAACAAATTAACTGAAAAAGCCTCAAATAAAAAAAACGCAAAATAAATAGCAAAAGCACCAAATATAAGCTCCAAATATCACCTTAGAACACTGCAGTCGGAAATGGAAGGCTTGAATTACAATTGGGGGGGACACAAAGTAGCAGCGCAACAGGAAACACACAGGGGGACACAAAACGGAGCACATTTGGCTTCCAAAAAAAAGTTCGGAAACCAGAACACCTACTTCCGGTTTTGCAGTGTTTGGGTTCCAAGTTCTTCTTTAACTAAGCTGTTCGAAAACCAAGGTACCACTGTATTAGACAAACTAGAACCAGGCTGCAGACATGGGGCAGGCCAGAAAGGGACCCAGTCTAATTACAAACTTAATTCCACTTATCTGGGAGTAAACTCCCTAGAGTGCAATGCACTTTCCTTCTTAGAAGACCAGGTTAGTCTGGTAGTCCTACATGCACAACACACAAGATTTGCATACATCCGCCACAACACTGGTGAGTACAGAGACTGTGGAGGTAACAAAAACAAACACAAAAACAAAAACCAAGCAGTGGTTTTGCTGCTTGAAATGGGCTTGTAGCACTTGGGCCAACCATTTAAAACGGGGATGGGGATGCTGTGCTTCTCCCAATGCTGTTGGACTCCAACTCCCATCAGCTAGTCTGATGCTCTAACCACTACACCACACTGACCCTCTCCATTGTGGTTGCCCAAAGATGGTGGAAGTGGAACCACCGAGATATTCTCAAGTCTGGATGTTCTAGAGGAAGACTTAGAGAAGTACCACACCCACACACATACCCCACCCAGTCCCACAGCAGTAAGGGGAAGATGTGCAAAAGAAGATAAGCGCTTGCCAGCTTCAGGGAGCCTGTGGTTGCCATGCTGATATCTAGATGACTAAAAGGGGACGTTACTGCCCTAGTCTGAGCAGGATGAAAACCACCATCCACTTGCACAGCCAGTCTGCTTGCCTGGCAGCCCATCCATCTTACTTTCCTCGGCCGTTCTGTGGTTGTGCCTTCCTCCGCTGTGGGTGCAGCAAGCGGAGCTGAGCAGGGGCTGATCGTGCTTGCTTACTGGTGAGGCTAGTGCACTCTGCATGAGCTCTGAGGCATCCTTTCTTCACGTCGGCCGCCCTAGCATTTTGTGTGGGAGGGTGGATAACTTTGGTGGTCCTTGGTTCCAAGAGCCTCTCGGTCTCCCCACATGTCCCAACGTGGGCAGGCCCCTCTCACACCCGCGATGCATTGCCAAGCTGACTACACCACTTCCTCTCGCTGTGTGCATTTAACGGTTGCTTCTTCTTTTTCAGTATTTCTCCACCGCCACCTCCTCCTCGGTTTCATTCACTCCTTCCTGCCCGGCCAAACAGAATATTGGTGAGGCGAAGGCAAAGCTGAGGCCTGCCCCACAAGAACCTTCCCTCAACAGGTGGGACCAGCGTTGCGTGAAGCCTTCTTCCTAAGCAAAAGGTAGAGGGGAGCGGGATGGTGGGGCATTGGTCATTTGGGATAGAGCAAAATTGCAAAGTATCGTGTGGAAATGGTTGTGGGGAAGGTGGGGTGGCAGCTGCGGAAATGAGAGGTGCATTGTTAAAGTGCGTTTGTTGTATCGTCCACCTGGCATCCCTCGAAGGAGTTCTGTTGGGCATCTTCACAGAAACCTGTGAGGTAGGTTAGCGACTAGCCGAGGCGGGATTTGAACCTGGCTCTAAATCAAACACTTTGTCTGCTAAGTAGTCTGCCCCGAGCTGGGATTAAGAGCTGAAAGAGCTGGAAGAACAGTGGAAAAGAGGCTGCTATATGCAGAAAATCCAGCATCTCGACCAAGTGGCAAAATAGAGAAATCTGCTTCAGGCAGGACCATGATAGAGAGATGGGGAAAGGCAGGAATTTGAATTTTTGAAGTGCCGGCCCTAACAGAAGGGAGGTGGTACTTCTGGGGCTCAGCTTCAGGCGGCAAAATGACTTGAGTTGGCACAGGAGTCTCCACAGGACTAAATCAGGTTTCTGGTCCTGATTTCATCCTTATAATCTAGGCAGCTATATAGTTTTATAGTCTCCAGCCACATTTTCCTTCCTGGATGCTGGAAGCATTTCTTAAACTCTTCGCTGCTCATGAATAACACATGCCGAAACGTGGAAAGTCAGTGAGCACCCTTTTTCTATAGTGATAAGTCACAGATTCCATGCTGCATGGATGAGTGAAAGTGCTGTGCAGCCCTCAAGTTTCCCCTACACCCACCTTCGATTACGATATCTCACAGTAGATTCAGAAGAGACGCAGTGGAGGAGACACAACGTGCACACGCTTGGCATCTCCTGTCTGAGCTTCCTACGCAGGAACTGACAGAGGATGGTCCATTGTGGTGAGATGTGGGGAATCCCCCTCCCAAAAACTGCAGGAAAAGCACTCAGAGGACGAGTTTCTTTCAGGGCAGCCTCTCATAGCACTTCTCTGGCCCCTCAAGGGATGGGATGAGGTAGAAATTCAGATTTTTTTGCATTCTAATGAGAAACTTCCTAATCCACGCTTCTCAAGCCAATGCACAATTAATTATCCTTTGGAATTTGCACCTCTCCAGATTTTGCAGTGTAGATCTCCAAACCGAGAGGGTGTGCAAAAATGCATATGTTAGTGCTTCTCCAATTTTCCACCTCCCACATGAATTGTTGAGGGTCTTGATGATTTTTTCCCCTGCCTGCTGTAGCAATTGCAATGCGCCGTGCTAGACACTGCATGATTTTGAAATGCATTTTTGTTGCTGCTTTTATTTGTTATACTGTATTTGATTGCACTTTAAATTCCATAGAATTTGATACGACTTCAGAGTGCAAGTGTCCTTTGCAGAGATGGCACAGACCACCTGAATGAAGCTTATGGGCCACTGGTAATCCGCAAACACAATATGGGAACCCTGTGTTAGGCACAAAAATGCATATGTTAGGAAAGATAATGTAGAAAAATCCATTGCATTATAGGAAATCGCTTACACAAAAAAATGTGCCCAATAGTCAAAACTGCATACCTTTAAAAAATATGGGGGTTTTTTGGAGAGAATTTTGCACTCAAAAAACAGAGGAATTTTCATGAGGATTTTTTAAAAAACAGATTGCAATTTGCTGTGGAAATGCAAAGATGTTAGTTTAAGACTGGGAAACTGAGGAACTGAGAGAAACTGAAATGGGCAGATATATTCATCCTTTATCCTCAGGGTGGAGGATAAGCTGCTCCAAGGAATATTATACCAGGATCTTCCCCTGACTTGGAGCCTGCCCTGTAGAGAGACAACATGAAATGGGTGTCCAAATGGCACTGCAATATTTTTTTAGAGGGTTGGGCCTAGCAGGGATGAGGCAATGCTTCAGGCAGAGAACTGCCGTGGGCTGGAACAACCCTGATCATTCAGCGTTCTTTCTTTCTTACTTACTTATATTTTGTTGCTTCTATTTCTTTTAATTATGGCAGTATGAGAGAAACACTAGAAAGAGAAGCAGCAGGCTGTGGCAGGAAGAGGGAGCGGCCCTTTCCATCCACCCGCCTTACACAACTGCCACCCGGCCCCTCCTCTCCCCAGGTTCTCACAGCGGTCAGCCATTTTGTGGGGCGCACACAGTGAGGCCCCTTCCATTGGCCTCCTTTGACCCATTTTTGTTTTACGTTCCTTCCATGAGACACATTGTGGTTTCCTGCTGAAAGGCAGGATAGAAATATAATAAACGTACACAACAGAACAGTGTTGCAGCACACAAGCAGCATTTCCACACAATTATCTCATTAAGAGAATGTCTCAACGTCAGACTAGGATACCTAAAGGGCCGTCTCCTTTTGCCTGGCAGCTTGTTAAGATGAAGGAAACGTTCGAGGGTGGAGGGTGGCAAAATATCAGGAGCCTCTGAGTTTACAGTAATTCTCTAATGGCCATAATTACTGTGGTGCCAAGGTGGTTGGCAGGGATATTTGGACTGGGCACATGAGGGAAATTCTTCAGCTGCAAGTGGCAGCAGGTAGGGCCTTGGGCAGTGCCAGTTTAAGGTTTCACAGCAGGCTTTGGCCAAGATGGCCTCAGTAGGCTTCAGCTTCCACTGCGTCACCCAACTCCCTAGCAATACCACTTGCCCTTGAAGTATTCCCTCAAATACTATGTCATGTGCTCTATCGTAACTTTCCAGACTCCACCCTTGGATGTTGCTTTCTGGAAAGCCTAGCCTGGGTCTTCCCTGTTGATATGGAAGAGCAACCAGGTTCCCATGAGAGGAAACGGTCCTTTATCTGAAGAAATCTCCTCATGGCCACCACCAGTTGCCAGCTTCCTATTCAACAGGCACACACATACACACATATTCCTAATCCCAGCTCTGGGGCATGGTGGAGGTGTCAGACGTTGATATTGCATACCCCACAAGTGTCCCGGGGGAAAATGGGGCATCCTTTTTTTTTTATCGCGAGAGAACAGTGGCCATTTTGGTTGCTGTGATCTTGCCTGATTTTGCGGCGCAATCCCCCCACCCCCGGAAAAGTGCTTTCTTTTGGGTGTGATCTCACATGGTATCCCCAAGCACTTGTTTTTGGGTGCCTTGCCCATTCTTTTTTTGGAGGGGGGAAACCATGGCCATGATGTTCTCATGATAAAAAATGGGAAAATACAGCCCAGGAAGATGGCGTCCTGGATTTTGGCTTCAAGGTCTTGGAGGGTATGGTATGGCTGGGCAGGTGTCATGGCCCATTCCTGACCAGGGGACTAACCGCCAGCCCTGGCTGCCACCACCTTTTGCTAACCTTCACTGAGTGAGGGAGGAAAATGTGACAAGTGAGCTGAAGGAGTTGCAGTCTCTGCTAGCCTCTCCCTCTGGGCGGGCATGAGGACTGGGCCATTTGCTTGCTCTCTTCCTCAGCATCAAGGCAGCATGGGATTTCAGCAGGTTTTGGGTTGATTGCTACCGTCCTTCTTAAAATGGTATCCTGCCTTTCTCTTATTATGAAACTCAAGGCAGTGTACATGTAAGTCCTCAGCTGGTCTCCCATCCAGGCACTGATCAGCACTGAGCCTTCTTTGCATCCATAAGGGAGTAGACTCATGTGCCTTTGGACCACAGCAAGAGCGGACTTTGCTCTTTCAAATTTCAGTGGCATCCTTTGCAGGGCCAAAATTTGACAGCCCCACCTCTCGCCTTCCATTCTGATCTATTTGCTATATCACACCTACACCGCTTCCTATACTCAGCGCCCAGTGTGGCCAAATCTGCCTCTGACAACACCCACTGGATCGGGAAGGAATGATGGGTATATCTGCCCATTTTCAGTTTACCTCCATTTCTCATATCTTCAACTCTTCACTTTTCCACATCAACTGACAATTTTTTAAAAAGAGTCTAGGTGAAAATTTCAGTGCTAATTTCTCCTAATATACATATTTTTATTTTTGTATGCAATTGTGCCGAGTCTACACATTTTTGCAAAGCAAATTCCCCCAGTAGAATGCATTTTTGTACAATATTTTCACCCACATGTGCATTTTTTTGTGCACACTTTGCTGCATTTCTGTACACGTGACTCGGCTGGAGAACCGTGCTGCAAAATTGGCGAACTGCAAAGGACGGCTACATTTTGGTTCATGTATTGTTTCAGAAAGTGAAAGGCTCGCCTTGAATGGTTCCTCCTGCCCCCTAGCTGCCCATTAGTACCGGAGGGCGAGGTGGCGTTGTGAGCGGTTAGCTCTGCCGCTCGTACTACAGGCCACTTCCGTCAGCAAAATGTGTTATTCTTCCTGAGTGGAAAATCCTGGGTGTGGCCTTGCTGGGTGGGGAGATTTTGTCCCTCCGAACCATTGAGTTGGGCAGCCTCACCGGCTAGGCCACAGCTTGGATGTCCACCAGTCTGGATGGCTGTAAAAGAAAATTAGACCTTTTCATGGAGGCAAGGCTATCAATGACTAGCTATGGTGGTGACTCTGTTCTGCCTCTGCTGCTGGAGGCAGTAATACTGCTGGATACCAGTTCCTGGAAACCACAGGAGGGTTGCACTCTGGCTGCGTGTGAGAACAGATGCTGGATTAGATGGGCCACTGGCCTGATACAGCAGGCTCTTGCCACAAAAGAGCTCAGGCATGATATAACTCTGAAAAATGCATAAGCACAGATGAGATTCCAAAGATGGCAACTCCATTCTAGACTCTTCTCTGGTTTTTCTTTTTTCTTTTCCCAAATATATGCATGGCATTTATACAGAGCCTCTCTCCAGGTCCCGAACAGCCTGGTCTGATAGGGCTCATTTTACATTGCAGCTCCTGGGATCTTTAGTACTCAATGCATGGACTCTGCTGCTGAGCTCTGAGCCATCACTCATGCAATCTGCATAATAATAATAATAATAATAATAATAATAATAATAATAATAATAATTGTACCCTGCCCATCTGGCTGGGTCTCCCCAGCCACTCTGGGCGGCTTCTAACAAAGATTGGAAGCTTCTGAAATGTAAAAAAAACGCTCGTGTCTATAATGCATTCAAATTAAAACCACAAGGGAAATCTGGAGCATAGAAACCTGTTTGTATGTGGTCTTCCTCACTTGTCTTTCTCAGCTATCGGCTCGTTCCACACCTTCCTCTTCCAATCCCTGCTTCCTTCCCCCCCGAAAACCTCATCAGCCTTGCTCCCCGCCCTTTCCTGTCTCTTTCAGTTCCTCCTCATTCAATTTGAGTTGTGGGGTAAGACTTGAGAAGGCTGCAGAAATAAACTGGTCCTGTCTCCTACTTTACAGAGGACAGCAGCCCTTTGTTTGAATGGCTCCTCTGTAGGAAGGTGTGTCCCGTCCAAGTGGCACAGTGAGCTAATTCTAGACCCTGAACCCTAATAGTCTTAAAAGAGATCCCTTCAATCAGGGGTGGGGAACCACCAGCCCATGGGCCAAACCTGACCTGCCAGAGGTCCCAGTTTGGCCCATGAGAGCTGTTTCCCCCCCAAACCATGCCCAGATGTGGCTTCACAGGAACTACTGGGAGCTTAAAGGAAAGTCCCGCTTGTTCTTTTGCCTGAAGCAAGATGTGCTCCTGTGCCTTGTTTTGGAAGCATTTTGTGGGCTGTACGAAGGAGTTCCTCTCCATGTTGTTGATACCTGCAAAATCTGAGCTTCTATCTCCGCCTCTATCAGCTGATTTTTGGGGGTGGGGTGGGGAGAAAGACACACTTTTCTAGCCCTTTGCTCAGTACTTCCCAAAAGGTCAAGCACTCCACACTGGGCAATAGATATAGGACACAATATCGACCTAAACCTCTGGAAGAAACACTGGAAAAGAGATTTGAAATTTACCACACATTATTCTCTGAAAGAGAACTATTTGAGAATGATTCATAGATGGTATTTAGTTCCGAGTAGGTTGGCTAAGATGTATAAAGCTGAATCAGATACGTGTTGGAAATGTAAAGAAATGGGAGGAATTTTTTTCGTATGTGGTGGACATGCAGAAAGGTAAAAGAATATTGGGAAAAGATTTATAATGAGTTGAAAAAAATGTTTAAATTTACCTTCCCCAAAAAACCAGAGTCCTTTTTGTTGGGAATAACCCAGACAGAATTTCCCAGGTGCCAGAAGTTTATTTATGTATGCAACAACAGCGGCCCGTGTTCTGTTAGCCCAAGAATGGAAAGTGAGTGAGGTCCCATGTAAAGAAGATTGGCAACTTAAGATGTTAGAACTTGCAAGCTTAACACACAGAATAAGAGAGCAAGAAGAATATATATTTAAAGAAGAGTGGAACATATTTATTGAATATATGGAAAATAATTGTAAGCTGAAAACACTGGCAGCATTCAACAGAGTAAACAATATTTGATTGGTGTAAAAGTGGAAAATTGATTTGAATGGTTATAGTAAAATATGCAGGAATGTATGATATGTAACATGAACCATGAAAGGAGAAGAAGGGAAGTCACTGGATATTTTAAAGTTTGTAAAAAAAATAAAAATGTAAGAAACTGAAAACTCAATAAAAATTATTTATTAAAAGAAATAAGCAAAGGGTCAAGCACCCAACAGTTAAGCTGGCTGTCGGGTGCTTGGGAACCTCACACAAGAGATTTTGACAGGTGGGAGGAACAACCTGCCTGTCAGTCACATGAAACCCCAGTGGTGTTACATGATTGACAAATGGGCTATTCTGCCCACCTGTCGACACTGGGCTGTGTTTCTCCACCTAACTGCTTAACTGGCCATATGTCATATGTCATTGAAAATTAACATTTCTCTTCTCAGCCCCTCCCCATCATTCTAATTTTTCAGCTATGCCTATAAATTATATGTGCCATCATTTGTTAACTTTTTTTGAGTGATGCATTTCCTCCTTTTCCGGTGATGCATCAGTTGCTGCCCTCCTGCAGATGTATGTGGATTTCAGACGTGAGAAATGTGTCTGTCTGGTAGGAAGTGCCACTCCTTGTGGTAACCCTTCCTAAAACGGTTGTAGGCAGTTCTGCCCTCAACCAATCCCCAGGCACAAAATAGTGAGTGCTCCTGTCCACCATATTCCTTAGGAATTCCTCTTGATTGGAGCCCCATTTTTTTTAAAGTTCTCACGCACCCCACTTGAAAATACTGCTGGTTAATTTGTTGTCTGGTTTAAAAGAGAATTCACAGATGCCAAGATCCATGTTTGGCACAAGTACTCTTTGGTAAGAGAACCCAAGCAGAGATTTAAAATTTTAAAAAATACACAGCAAAGTAAAGCGTGGAAACATAGGCTGGTGGATCTTTAAAATATTCCTTTCTAAGATGCTTCCTAAGTCCTCCTCTTCCCTTAGCATAGAAAGAGACTACATGTTTGGCAAGTTAAAAATGGTTTGCATACAAAATCTTCAAAGATCAGGTTCATGTGCTTTCTCATATAGCAGTCAGAAAAAGACAGGCAGTAAAACTAAAGTTCTAAAGTGGTGAATGGTTATTTGCCTAGAAATAAAAGGATGGCTTGCAGAAAGCCATGAAGCTAAGCTGGAGCAACCAGCTTAGCCTCCTTACTTGCAGGAGTGCAAAGGGTGTAATGGGAAGAACGAAGGCTTGATAACCCTTTCTCCCAAGATAAGAGAGAGTGACCTAAGCCTGTCAGGACAGCTTACTCTGTGGTCTTAACCCCTCCATGCATTAATTAGAGTTAAGCACGTTGGTTATATGGGACTGAGGATCCCACAAATACATCCTTTTATTCATCATATGCTTCTGTCCTTCTAGATTTGCTTACAGCTCTTTCTTTCTAGCTATCTATATTTTCCTCTCTTATCCAGAGCCGTCTTTCTCATTGGACTTAGTGGTTCGTTGTGCCAGGGTGCTGGCCTCTCAGGGGTGCCCTGGTGAGTGGGGGAGCTGCGCGGCTTTACCAGCAGCCTCCCCTTTCCCTGCACACCTGCCAGCTGCGCCCCGCCAACTATATGGTTGGCGGGCATGCAGCTTCCTTCCCAAGCCTCCACAGGAGGAGAGCGATCCCCACAGAGGCTTAGGATGGGAGCTGCACACACAGCTTCCCTCCCAAGCCTCTGCATCTGCTAAAGATGGCCCTGCTCCCGGTCGCTGTCCTCCTCCTGCTTCCTGGCAAAAGGAGGTGCGCAGCCTTCCTGGCTGCCTTCTCGGGCGGCCTGACACCAGAGAACATGTCCTCCAGCACGTTTTCCTGCTTGATCGCCACCACCACGCCAGGGATCGGGGCGGTGGGGGAGGCAGAGGACATTTTCCACCGCCCCCTCCCTTGTTTTGGAGTTGCTGGGGGGCGGCGGCAGAGGGATCTTTGCACACGGCGCCGGATATGCTTAAGATGGCCCTACTCTTATCCAATGTATATCATGTTCATTTCAAAGAGCTGGGGAAGGTTGATAGCACAGTGGTTAGAGCATCTGCTTTGAGTGCAGAATGTCCCGGGTTTAATCCCCAGGGCTGGGGAAAAGATCCCTGTCCGAAATCCCGAAGAGCCATTACCAGTGAGTGGGGACAGCACTGAGTTAGATAGACCAAGTGGTTTGACTCTGTATAAGACAGCTTCCTTTTATGTTACTAGCGAACATCTTTTACATTAAAGCAATACTGTACAAATCAATTCACCAAATAAAACTAGTTTGCAAGACTAGAGACAGGGTGCGGTCAGCTCCAGACCTTGTTAAACGCTGGAAAGGAATTTTGCTGTGGGGTGTCCTGAGCCAAACAAGACACAATGCCCTAGGAGACATCCATGATGTGTAGCTCCACATGATCTGAGCATGAAGTCCCCAACCCATCAGAAGAATTCACGGGTCCCTAATTTAAAAAACCCAGGTGTTTAGATATTCTCTTACTCCTCTCTCTTTTCAGTGCAATCTTCCAGGGGGGAAAATGTTTTTAAAAAACTTTTCACATTTTGTTCTCAGGTTGCTGTTCCGTGTTGCTCCACTACATATCACTAGCCAAGCAGGCCCTGCCCTCTGGAGTTCTGCCGCCATGGAAACGCGATCCCTTCTCAGGCAAATAATTGGCTACGGCATGCCCTTTGGCGTCCTTATTCTTTTGACCGTGGCTGCACATGTTGATGGGCAAGTTTCTGCTACTTCAGACACACGGCCTGTGGGGACCACCATCTTTCCCCCCATGTCAGCTTTCACAACTGAAAGGGTGGGCACAGAGCTTGCAACCTCACCCTCTCCAGCCAAGCCTTCAGCTCTCCCCTTGTCTCAGTCCACTGCTGCAGCTAAAAAACTGTCTCTAAAAACAGCCACTACAGATACTATTCTCCAAGAGAGCAGCACAGATGAAGATGCAACTATCACCAACAATACATCAGGCCCCCATCCCTCTACCGGCCCTGCGATCAGCCTTACCACAGAAACAGCTGTTGTGGGACAAAAATTTGCGATCAGACCTACCACAGAAGCAGCTGTTGTGGGACAAAAAACTGGTACAACCAGTGGCGTGGCAAACCCTCTCAATACAACAACAGCCCCTCTCGAGACTACTGTTGGGAGTACATCTGGCATCAAACCAAGGTCAAATTCAAAACAGACTACCAAGGGTGAAGCACAGCCAAGTCCGAAGCCAGAACAAGATGTGGTAGATGACACCAAAACAATGGACAACCGCACCCATTGGCCTGCTCAGTGGCCCTCAACCACGACAGCTGTCCCCCAAACAACAAGCGCTGTCCTTGGCCCAAGAGCAAGTTCTGAGAACAACAGCCAGACTGGAATAATTGTGGCCGCTGTCCTCTGTGCCCTTCTGTTCCTGATCCTCTTGATTGCCATCCTCCTTTGCTGGCGAAGGCGCCGCTCTGGCTCAACCAGCTTCAACGAGGGGTGGGCAGGCCAGGTGGCGCTGCCAGACGACTCGGCCTTGGATCGGGATGTGGAGCAAGGGGCAGTGCCTGCAAAGGAAGAGGAGACCAAGCGCAACACACTCATCACGTTCTCCGGCAAGCGTCAGTCAAGGGTGCCTTCGGTAGCCATGGAGGAAATAGGCGAGAAAGGAGAGAGCGGGGAGAACCAGAAACTGCTTTGTGGAGATGCTGGCGGAGGCTCCAGCCCAGAGGCTTCTGGGAAAGCAAATGGTAGACTCTCAGAATCCACCATGCAGTCCTCTCAAGAGATCGTGTTCCCTCCACCCCCAGCTAACCAGGAGTAGCCTCTTCCTCAACGACCAACGGAGGACACACTTCTTATGCCCCTTTCTACCCCCCTTCCAGTAGATTAGGACACTCCATTGGCCCTGTTCCCAGTCCATTCAGAGCTGGTGGAAGGGCGGAGGAGCCCAGGAGAGAAACGCTTGCACCATCAGTGTTTCCGACCACATCCTTTTTCCTGTTTGTATGGTATCTGCAAGGTAGAGACAGTGATCTTAAACCAGGAGTCCTGGTTTCCCAGCCACCTTTGCCTTAGTCTCACCAAACCTCTTTTCCCTTCTAGAAGACAAGGGGTTTAAGCTGTTGCTTTTTCGCAGCTGTGCGGAAAACACCTTGGTGTGGTTGTACAGGTGGAAAATCCAGGGCTTCAAAGAGGAGGGAGGTTGTGCTGGAGAAACAACGGCCTTTTATTTGTAGCAGAAAGTCTTGGTTGCCATTTTCAGAAAGAGGGTAAATTGACGACATCAAATTTGCTGCAATTTTCCACAACATTGAAAATGGTTGTGGGTGATGAGCCCTATTATCAGAACCAGTTTGCAGGGGACTTTTAACGCAGAAGTGCGAATAGGCTAGCCAGATATCGCAACCCTATTCTTTAAATCTATCCAGGCCAGTGGGCATGTAGGTTCATATGGACACTCTTCTCATTTAATGCAGGTACCATCCCAAATCTTTCCAACCAGACAGCTTACTGCTATGTATCATATCAAAAGTACATCTTTTCAAGCAGCCAGTGAACGAACCCTTATTAGCCAATTCTCCAAGATCTGTTGCAGGGTAAGCGGAGTATAGATGTTCATAATTTAAAGTAGACCACAAATGGGAGGAGTGTAGCTGGAGTAATGGGCAATATTTATTTCTGGATAACCATTACAGTTAAGTGGGTTTTCAGGACCCATTATTACAGATTGTTGCCTCTTAATATGCTTCGGTCATTCTTTTGGACCAATTATCAAGGCGTTGGAGTGGGTGGGACGTGGGTTCTCCGTGATTTATTTACCCAGGAGTTGATGTTTCTAACTCCCTTGGAGTGAGAGGCAACAATTTCCTGAGAGGTAGATACATTAGTGTGCAGCAGCAAAAGCAACAAAGAGGCTTTAGGGCACTTTAGAGACAAATGGATTAATAGCGGCACAAGCTTTTGTGAACTTGAATCTTCTTTATCTGATGAAGTGGCTTCTAATCCACGAATGCTTATGCCACATACAAAATTTGTTTGCCTAAGATGAAAGAAGCCACACTGTTGTTTTGGCTGAGATAACATGTGGTAATCATCTCGTACTTATTAGTACAAAATAGTTAATGATACTTTTGTGAATAGGCACTTAGGGAAACCAAACCAAAGAATCTACAAAAGTTTTTTACTGGTTTTCTGAAAGCCAGTGTTAGGGCACCACAAGATAGATGCTTTAAAATCCTCACAGAATTACAGGTTCCAAAGTTCATTGGAGGAGAAAACATGGCAATTATTCTGGTTTTGGTCCAGTTTAGATTTCTGCTGCAGGTCATAATCTGTGACAGTGTTTGCCCGCACAAGCCCCAATGAAACAAATAGAAAGAGCTGTGCAAGAGGCCATCTGCCATTTTCCCTACTTGTCTCTCCTCCATTCACCCTCTGGATAACCCTGTCTAGTGTTCACTATATGTTCAATTGCTGTTTGTGTCAATTTGTTGTGGTTTTTTTGCAGAGATTTATTTTTGTGTGTTGCCGTATCAAAATATATCAATAAAGAAGTTTTACTTTGGTTTAATTTTTTGGAGTGTGGTTTGGAACGATGTCAAAACCCACTATTTCAATCAGTTCCGAGTGACAATGTAGCTGACACACAGTACACCCATCTTTTTATATTGTATAATACTAAAATTCAGGTTACAGTGGTACCTCGGGTTACAGATGCTTCAGGTTACAGTCGCTTCAGGTTACAGACTCCGCTAACCCGGAAGTACATTGAAAACAATTAAACAATAGTTTTAAGCATCCATATCCTGATGATTTGAACCTTTCAAATCTTGCCAATGAAGGTGCAAAAGTGATCTAACAAAAGTTCTTCATCTCAAAGAAAACAAAGGCGGCGTTCAGAACGCTGGAATTAATTGCTCTAATCTCTGCTCGTGGTGTTTATCTTGCATGCAATTATTTTGCAGGACTCCTGGGCTCTCCTTAATAGACACTGGTTGTTCATCTGTATGGGTACACAGGAGAAGGCCTGGTCCTGCGTTAGGGGCCTAAATCAACCCTGGGGTTGATTTGCCTGCCATTATTACAGGCTGGGGTGGGGCACAGTTTCAGGGTGGCGGTTGTATGTACTTCTTACCTCTTGATTGTGCTTTCAATGAAGTTGTAACCCCTCCCTTTTGCTCAAAGTTGGTTAAAGGCTAATTAAACTAATGAGCGTGCTGTGGTTTAAAAAGAAATGAAATTATCCTTCCTTCCCTGTGTATGAATTCATTCTGCTCCTTCATCTGAACTTCATCCAAATGAAGTTCCTTTGATTCCAGATCTTAAGGGATTTCTTGAAGTCATTATAGGTAACTTGCTGCAGGGAAATGGCTCAGGAAGCATCTTGTTTTATTCTCTCCTCCCCGCCCCTTTAATTTTATACCACTCTCATCTACCACAAAAATCTCTCTAGACTAATTGGTACTCCCCGTTCGTTGAACCAGCATGAGCTGTCACAAATAAGCACTGCACTGAAATGGTACATTTTAAAACAAAAAAGGAAAGAAAGTAAAATAAATACATCGCTAGCATTCTTTACCACCAACAATAGCACAAGAAAATCAAGCAACATCTAAACTTTGCAAAGATTTTCCAACAACAGAAGTGGCGCCCATGAGAGAGGTGCCAGAACTGCGCTCCAGTTTGCTCTGGCTGATAAAACCCCCACTGACCTGGAGAATCTATTGTTTTCTGTATGTAAGAGATTTTATTTTGAACGGAAGAACCTTCAGTCACGTGAGACCCCGCCATCTACAGCCTAAACTTCAGACTGCTGCATGGGCTGCTCCCCAGACACACCTTGACAATCTCAAAGAGAACAAGGCCTGGAATAGGAAAACGGAGACTTTTAAGTTAATGTAGAAGTGACAAAATTCCACACTTTGCAGTTTCAGGGTGGCACGTTGGAATTCACCAGACTGAGGCCATACTCACACCTTACTTTTAAAGGATTGTGATACCACTAAACAGTCATGGCTTCCCCCAAAAGAATTATGGGAGCTGTAGTTTGTTAAGGATGCTGAGAGTTGGTAGGAGACCCTCCGTATTCCCCACTCATAGCTGCCATTTACAGAGCAGATTAACAAGCAATCCCTCTTCACTGGGAACTCTGGGAATCATAGCTTTGGGGTGGGAATACAAGTCTCCCAACAACCCTTAGCACCTTCGATAAACTACAGTTCCCAGAATCCTCCTGTGGATTTTTCCTGAGAGGGACGACTTCTTGAATGGAGGAACGCTCAGTTCTGATGCGAGCCTGTGATCCGAGGCTTGAGGTGGTTGTCTGGGCCTCTCGCCACCCTTCTCACACCCCCACTTCACGCCCTCTGTTGTCGTCATCCTTCTCCTCCGACTCCTCAGAGCACACTTCTTCGCGGCTTTCCTCTTCCTTCTCCCCGCACATTCTCTGGCAGCTCTCGTTCCAGCACATCCGCAGGTGGAAGTAGCCGGCGCAGGTGATGATGAAAAGGATGGAGGTGAAAACCAGCCCCCACAGCGCCACCCGTTTCTCAGCCCTGCCATTTATGGTGCACTCAATTCTCTGCTGGCACCTGGTAGTCGACGGGGTGCATACCCAATACGCACCCCAGAGCCTGGGCATCTGGAAGATGAAAATGACACAGAGGAAAGAGATCTCCAAGGCAAGGATAAGTCCCACCCAGATATCAAAGAGGGGGACACCACAGATGTTAGTGATCCTGGGCCTCTTCTTCCGCCTAGAAGAAGATTCTCTGTGTCGGTCGTGGTGGTGGGCAGCTTCACACGGCGGGGTCGCGTGACATGGTTCAGCCTCGGTGCATGTGCAGGCCGTGTCTCCATGGTAACACAGCATCGGTCCGGCAGCCATGCCTGGTCCGGACATGACCTGTGCCTGGCCAACAGGTTTGCAGTGGGAGTCTCCAGCCATCCATGGCTGGTTGCACACATTGCCTCCAAAGTTCCCATCACTCCTGCCTGTGGTGTCAAAGGTTACGTGGCGCTGGCCGTGCACCTTACACCCCTGAGCCGGCCTGCGTTTGATGGCCATGTTTGCTTTGTCATCTACCCAGGGATGGGCAGGGACATAGCCCATGCTGCCTTCGGTGTCTGACTTGCATTTGGTGGCCGTGCTGTATTTGCCATCATCATGGATACCTTGGCCGATGTATCTTTTAGGTGTGCCCATAGCATACCCATCATTAGCTAAACCACCCGATTCTTGAGGGTTGGCGTATCTCCAATGGAGGGGTTCTCTGTGCTCGTCACCTGACCAAGACTGAGGGGACATTTTGCCTTTGTAAGGTGAGCCGCTAAGGGAGGCCGAGGTGCTCTTGGTGGCCACGTGGCACTGCTCCTTTTCGCCACAATAGGATGCCGCAGTGGTTTGCCTCATGTGACCTTGATGTGCGGCCATCTTGGTTTGCCTAGTGTCCGTTGGACCATAGCTCACACTGGGGCCATACCCTTCAGCCATGGGAGCCGCATGCCCCCCGTGCCAATCATCCCAGTGGGTATAGTAAGGATGGTGGGCATGGTGGCGATGGTGGGCATGGTCGTGGCCATAGTGCCTAGGGAGACCACGGCGCCCAACGTTGTAGATGGTGGATATGTCGGGGACGCCACTGTGGGATGCTGTGGCAACAATGGCCAAGCCTTCCCCTTTATCCCTATCCTCTTTCTCTCTCCTCTTCTTCTTCTTCTTCTCCTTGGGGGTGGTGAGCCGCAGGAGCCCTACGAGAAGGATCAACGCGATGAATACCAGCCCCCATGTTGCTGCGACGGAGACGGGAAAATGTTGGTTGTAGCACAGGGCTGTGCAGAAGTCTCGCGACAGGTCGCCTTCGCCCTCGGTGATACTGCAGCTGGTGTCGTCTTTGATCTTGTCCCAGGGGCCGTTGGCGAAGAAGATGGCCATGATGCGGAGGCCCAGCAGGAAGTACCATGGGTTCAAGCCCTCGCAGTCGAGTGCACCGGAGAGGGAGGATAGCAATGGTCGAAAGAGATGGATAAGACCTGAGAGGATGATGGACATCTGTGGAGAGACAGGGGTAGGGGTGGGAAAGGGGAGGTTAGGCCTCAGGCAGGAACCTGCATTGGAATTCTACCCAGGGCCAGCACTGGGATTTGGTACCACTGGGCAATAACTGAGGTACACTCCAGAGGCCCCACTGTCGACCCACAGAGCCTTTAGCCCCCTCCTTGCCCTCACTCCTTGTTCACCTGCCCTATGCAAGCAACCACACAAGCAAAGAGAGGAAGTGGCTGTCTATATCTGCCTTGCCTTCTCCTTCTGGGTGTTAGCCACGTTGGGTTCATGGCAAAAAAATGGGGAGCAGGCACTGTGACATAGAGAAGATGGACTTGCTCGGGGAGGGGTGCCCACAGAAGGCCTCCTGCCCCCCCCCCAAATCTAGTCAATGTGCTTGCATTATTTGGGGTGAACCAAACTGGGCTGTGGGGCGAAGGGGAAAAGCACAGAACTCTCTTCCTCAGCTTCCAGGGTGGACATAGGAAGAGCCCCAGCAGATCAGGCCAAAGGCCCATCTAGTCCTGCAGCTGTCAGGCTTCAGGGAATCAGCTTCCTCCCCCATGGCCGTAAATGAGCAGATCAAGCAAAAGGAGTTCTTACCAGTTAGTTTCTTTAATAAACACAGCGAAGAACGAAATAAAGCGTCTACCCAGAATGGAGGTACTCCCAATTAAGGGTCACTCCCCCCTCCATCCCTATTAATCTACTTCACTCCTACGTCTTGTATTCTGGGCTTGTAGCCTCTAGGCTTTCTGTTCTTACATTTTCTGAGCTCTCCATGACTTTGGAGATGGGTGTGTGTGTGGATACTATCCAAAGACTGTGAATCTGTTACCTCTCTCTCTCCCAGTGCTTCTTCTGCTAGCTGTTCCCCATCCAGTATTTCCCAGCTTCTGCTTTCTGAACTATGCCTCTCTGCAAACCACTGTTCTAAATCTATACTGTCCTCCTGCTCCTGGGAAGATTCAGGAGCAGAGCAGGGGGAGGAGGTGGCTCCCACCATTCCTCCTCATTGCAGCCCTCCTCAGCACGGTCCCTGACAGGTGCCTGCTCTCACAGTTGCCACGCAGGACCTGAACGCAACAGCACTTTCCTAATATCATATCCTCCAACATTCCTCAGATGAAAATGGACATTCCACACTCCCTACCAACTGACCCTGCACAACACCCCCTCTTTTTTTTGTCCCATGCCCCGAAGAGCATTTCCTTTTAGAAGTGATACCACCAAGACACAGCACACACCGTCCTGAGAAAACTGCTTAATCCTGGTTTTATTTTAGTTTATTCTTTGGTATATTTACAAAAAGAAAAAAACACACCAATAAATAAATTTTAGAAAGGGGTGAGATTAGATGCCGATGCACAAAGCATTTTTTATATATTTTTTAAAAAATCAAGACTCCTCGCAGTCCGCTCCATTCACCCTGGCCGTCACGCGGCAGCTTCTCCTCCTCCTCCTCACCTGCTCTCTGAGCTGCCAAAGGAAGGCCAGCAAGCAGTGGCCATGAAGAGGCAACAGGATGCTCCCTTGCACTACCACAGCACCGGCTCATCCTCCTCTCTGAGCTCTGTGCTGGTGGGGCAAATAAGGACATTGCAGTATCAAATCAGAAACCGGGATGGCTTTTGTAATTCCGGGACTGTCCCTGGAAAATCAGGACACTTTGTTTGCAATTTGTGATTCCCAGGAACTAGTGCTCAGAGGCTTATTGCTGGCTTGTCGTCATTGACAGCCTTATCCTACATGCAACCCAATTTGCGCGTGCGGAGGTTAGATGACTTGCACCAAGCAGGACTTATGCCACACTTTCCAAAGCATTTCCCCAAAGCTTTCCTGGTTGGAAGAAGTCCAAACATTTGGGAAAGTGGTTTCTTTGTGCAAGACCTCCTGACCAACTGCAACTGGGCAACCTGAACTGGCAGGTATGTGATCGAATCCCAACCGAAAACTGTGGCGGTCTGGAAGTGCCCTGTTTAAGCCTTACCTGCCAGGTTCGCTAACGCCTGGCTTTCTGTCTCCAGCCTTCTGCTCCTTTCCAGAGTGAAACCTCAGTAAACAACCCAGGCTTGGGAAAACCTTTTCTGGAGCATACTAGCCCCGTAATCCTGCAGTGATTTAAGCTTGATAACCTCTGGTCCAGCCAGCATTGGACTTCCCTTCCTCCCCTCTTCCGCAACTTCCATTTCCTATTGACTTTCACCGTCATCCTCTTTTGTCCATGCCTGTTCCATCATCAGTTTCTTTCCTTTTGTCTCCTTCTCCCCCTTTCTCTGAATTACCCACAGCTAAGGCCAACCTTTCACGAGGTCTTGAGGCCTTGTTCAGGCATTAGTCCCTGCCTTCCTCTGCTCCACTTGAAGCGGGTCACTTGGCCCAGATTGCCGGGCTAGGCTTGTTTACTTCCTTCAACATTAGCATGACAGCTGCTAGCAGAATATTCCTTTGTCAGGCAGATTGCTGGTTTGTAGTCCAGGATGGTTGCTTGATGTTTCATTCATGGGAACTAATAGTTAGGAGATGATCTCTTGACTGTTGGGAATACCTCCCTGAGCACCTCCAGACTCTTGAAATTGCTGGGTGGGTTTCAGTCACACACTTGCAAACTCAGGTTGTGCAGTTTTTGTCGATTCCAAGGCCTTGCTCAGCAAACCCGCTTCCCCCCAAAGCTCAGAGTTTTTGTGATAAGCAAAACTATTGGGAAATGCACTGGGAAATGTAGGGTGACACTTCCTTTGAAGGAATGTCATCTAACCACTCCACAAGCAAATCAGAATGAATATTCATTAAATAGCTTCTGGCTGCATATACCCTATACATTTAAATAACATGACACCACTCCCCACCTACCAAATAATCCCGGGAGCTGTAGTTTGTGATGGGAGCTAGGATTTGTAGATCTCTGACGGTACAGACTACAATTCCCAGAATTCCTTTTTTTAAAAAATGATATTTATTGAAGATTTTAGAATTACAATAAAAAAAAGAAAAAAGAAAGAAAGAAAAAACAAAGAAAAAACAAACCACAATCAAACAATACAGATTAATAAAAATCAAAATCAAAAAGCAACACCACACAATTAAAAAAACAAAGTATACCACAAACAATTAAAAACAAATCCAATATTCTCAAATCTTTAACTATCATTACCTTCTTTCTTTGACCTCCTCCTCCTCCCTTTTTTGTATCCTGGTTGTTAATTGTCGCAGCAAATCCTTTCCATATTTCATAATATTCTGTCATTACTTTACCTTAATCTATTTTAATCTTATCTTACTAAGAAAACCTTAAAACTTAAAACTTAAATCTTATTTTTACCAAATTCTCATAACCATAATATTCTTACATAATTCTTTAAACATTTTTGCTAAAGCCAAATAATTTCGTTCCAACATTTTTCTGACATTCATCAATTTTATAGAACAATCATAATAAAAGAAATAACAATCCAATCTTCATCCAGCGTCTCTCCCTCCTGGACCCGGGTTTTGTCAGTCCTTTCTATCCCATCAATCTAGCGCATTAACCTGGTAACCTTATGTCCGAGGCCCTTAAGTCCCTTCCATGTCCCTTCCGGAGCTCTTCTTCATATTTATAGCTGTATTTTCCTTTATCTCCTACTTCTTTCACTCTTGGGAACTCCAGCTTGTCAATGCTTTTGACCCTTCTCAACAAATCGGCCCCTTTTCCATAGTCCACACTAAGCTCCATGTGGTATTTAAGAACATGTTTTAAAGTCCCCCCAAAATTGAGAGCCCCCACAACCCCAAACATCTCACGGCCCATTGCCAGACTTGAAAAGTCCAAATCTCCCTGCATAGGGGGGTCTATCCAACCCCCCATTTCCAGGCCAAACCAAACTTTATCTTTCCAAATCTGGCTTTTTCCAAGTTCATTTGTCAAATCCAAAAATTCATGTTCCTGCTGGACCGCAGCTCCCTCCATCTCTGGCGCCCAAGATTCAGCAACGTCCTCTTCCCTCATCTGTTCTGTCAGGGCACACTCCTGATCTGATTCCTGGGTGGGCTCTATATAATTTCCCACTGCCTGTCCAAAATTTCTAATCGCATCAGTCTTAAAATCCGTCTTCTCATGTAGCTGTTCCAGTAGGGCACTTGTTTTACAGAAAGCACTCAACAGAGCTTCTGAGTACATTGTCCTGCAAGGTCAGAAGTCTATTCCCACGATCGTAATCTGTAACAGCTGCGAGCTCCCCGATTCAAAGTTGGTTACAGTTTCACAGGCTCCCTCTAGGAGAAGAACTTCTGTTTGTTCTTTTCTTTTAAAAACAGATCTAACAACAAAGTTTCCTTTTTCAGATATTTTGTCAATATTTGTTCCTTTAAAATGCGAAGGGGAACAATGGAATCACTATGTATCTCTTCCTTTAGCTATCTGTCAGAAACGTTTGTCTCTGGTCAATGAGCTTCAAAAAACGTCAGTCCTGACACCCCGCTCCAGGATCAAGACGGTAGAAAGTTACTTTACTTTACACTCACTTCTGCAGGTTTAAACAGTCCGGAAAAAATCCCCCCTCTTCTCCTGCTTCTGAAGGGGGTTCAACGATTTTAAATGATGAAAGTTAATCCTTTAAAAGCGATTTTCAGAACTCTAGTTTGCTGTGTCTTTGCTTTAATCTATCTACAAAGAAACGGAAGGCTGACTTCCTGTTTAGACCTTCCCGTTTCAGTGCCAAATTAAATTAAACTTTTAAGTCCAGTTTTCCTTTCTGCTCACAAATCCTTATTTAGAGTCCAATTGTCCAAAACTTAAGTACTCACGGGTGGTTGTTTTAAAAGCCAAATTGTCCCAGGAAAAAGGCAGCGCTCTCCGGCAACGGCTGTGCTGTGCGGCTTCGCTCCACGGAAGAAGCAGTTTACTCTCAGCACCGCGCCACTTCCCCCTCTTCGCTCCGGAGCCTGTTAGTGGGTCCCTTTGCGGGTTGGGGGGGCGCTAAAGGTGCCCGCCGAGTCCCATGGTCACAGGCTTCATCCGCCTGTGA